AAGCAATTCTGCTGCATAAATGAGAACTATCTGTATTTGTAATTTCTGATTGTTCAGATATTTTTATGATGTCTGAGATTTATACTATAAGACTTAACAGTGTGTAGTTAATTCATAAATGTATAGAACATATAAAGAAATAGATACTGTTTAGGAAGGCATGTGATTTTTGTATGTAATGCAGGTTTTTGGAACTAGCTAACACTTCCCAGTGATGCAAAATAAAGTTTAGTTAGAAACAGATTTTGCAAACTCCAGTATGTTTACCAGTTAAATCACACCAGATAGGGAAGTATGAATACTATCTATGTTAAAAACAAATTATAATTACTACAGTAAAAGTTACATTTTTCCTTATTCTAAAATAAGTTGGATGTTGGATCTGTTTCCAGCACTGCTGCTATAACACTCTCAAAAAGAATTGGTGGTAACACCTTTGCTACAAAAGATGTTAGACCTACTGCGAAGGATGTTAGTCCTGATGGGAAACCTCTGAAAGGCATCGGAGTGGCAGAGCTTTTTATGAGGAACAGGCACCTTGGAAAACTGCAGTTTCTGCATCTGAACATTGCTAGCACTTGCCCTTACAGGTACATTTTTTCTAATATTTCTTGTCCAGGAAGTAGATGGTACTTTTCTATAGCAGTCAATGATTTCACAGATGTAACCTCATGTTCTTGTGTGTGTACAGGCCCTACGATCTTCATGTTGTGCAGAAGAGCAAGGCAAATCCAGAGCACTATGTGTTCTCACCCTCTTCTGTGCTGCATGTGCAGCCCAACCACAGCTCTGATCTCACACCCCTGAGGGACTGGCACCGGGAATCTATACTCTGGAGTGCTCTGCAGAAAATTCCTTTCTTCCGGAACTTCCTCATCCGCAAGACATTTACATGGCAAATAATTTTCTCTTTTTTAAATAAAGTGGTGGCTTGCATCATAGTCAAATGCCAGGTGTAGTTAGTTTTCTATTTGCTTCTTGCATATTTCCTCCCTAAATGCACTACTTATTAAAAAATTAATTGGCACATTCTTAATTTACTGTTTTAGGGACATGCCACTAAGTTGAAATGCATGCAAAACTAAAAATTGTAGATCCTCTTATACTGTAACAGAATATGCACATTGGAAAGAAATATAAAAAAAAGATATATACAGTAACTTCTTAAGATAAATATCAAAACTTTCTTCTCATGTCAGATCTTAGTAACAGGTGTATTCTGTGATATCTTCAAAGCATCATAGGAATTGATCATTTCATAGGTGACTACAGAGCTTAATATGAGTACAGAACTTTTGTTTTGGTATCCTTGGTACTTTGGTATTCTTTGCACATCCATGTTAGAACAAAAATGTTTTTGTGTTAACCCCCACCAAATTCAAATCAACATAAATATTGGGTCATATTAACCTAAAGTAAATTGATGTAGTGTAAAGTTAGTAAATGGGGACATGTCCCTATATGGAAAGGGAAAGCAAGGTGTTTGGATACTTCAGTTCTACTTTAGGACTTCAAGACAACTTTAGTTCAGCAAGATGGTTCTAGACACCCTTGTGCTTCTGCACAAGACTTATGCCACTGCAGTTCCCTGATCTCTAATGTGGAAGACTGGCTTGGCTGCAACAGTCATCTGTTCTGAATCTAGGTGATTTTCACCTGTGGGGATTCCTGAATGACTTGAGTATTCAAGACAAAATCATGTGTGGGTTAGAAATTAATTGACCGCAAATAATAGTTTTTTGCAGTTTCATCACATGCATCTTAAGGTGCATTGCAGGACATGACTGTTTTCTATGGATATAGAAAAGGTATTAAATGTATTTTAAAGGTATTAAATGTGTTTTAAACAGTATAGTCTTTCAGTGTGAAGAGTAATTGCTATATTAATTAGATGCGTAACTTACATTATTATAATATTACAACTGTGAGTAACAGTCAGTTCTTTTTGTTATGGTCTCTACTTTTAAGTTGGTGTATACACATGTTGATATGTTTGTGTTGTGTTTCACACAGCTGGCACAGAAATGTTCGTCAGCTCCGTCTGCATAAAAGATGTGAGTCCTTACAGCGCTTCCTGCTGATAGCCATACCACAGTTCAGAGAGGCCCTTCTTCAGCTGTCCAGGTCCACACATTTATTCATATTATTTTAACTATTGAGCTCTGTTTTCTGTTTAGATATGTGTGTGTTGGTGACTACCTTGGTAGTACATTTATGATAATATTTGAATAATCCTCTTTTAACATATTATACAATAAAAGATGTTGATTGAACAGAAAGTAGCCTATTAATTGTAGCAGCGACTCCTGAGATTTGTGGATTTCTGCAGGCCTGCAATAATTTTAGTGAGGGACACGACACTCCTCCAATCCATATTACTTCTTTTTTAAGGCACTGTAGAGATTGCAGTATCTCAAAAGACTAATAAATCTAATGTCTCTGATGTCACAAGTGGGCACCCATATGTCTTCATTCTTCCGGTGTGGTACAAGACTTGTAGATGCAATTCTGTGCCAAAAACAACAGGTGAATTCAAATGGGGAAGGTCTTAAATAGAAAACAATTAGAATTGCATAAATAAAGAAAAACTTGCTATTTTTGAGATTACATTTTTTACCTTTTTTGATTTTCAGTCTGCTGTTTTACACCAGTGAATCACGTGACTTAAATGTCTGTTTGGACTGCGTAATTGGTTATTGAGTGTATTATACATTGGTGAATGGAGCAATACAGGCTAAAAGCAGCATGGCTCAGAAATGGTGTATGGATTTATTTTTTTATAAGTATACAGAATATATACAATTGTATTAAAAAATGAATGATAATCACAGAAGTTTATAAATAAACAGCAATTTCTAATTTACAGTATATGTTCTTTAGTGATGTGAGGTTTTTTTTTTCCTGAAACAATTAGATAATTGGAACAGATACTTGTAATTGTAAGAATGCTTTATAGCCATTAGGAATCAAACGAAGCAGTTAGAACTCACAGCACACTGATACGTATTATACAATATGCAATTTCTTAATACAACACAAAGACATACAAGACTGACTCTCTGGCAGCTTGGTATCTTACAGTCTTTATTCAAACAAAAAGTATCTACATTGTCAGATTACCAAGGCTTGATGGAGAGAAAGGAGAGGATCAAAGAAAGTGAGCTGTGCTATACCTATTAAACCAGGAAACCACAACTGTTGTGACATCACCAATTCTAGTGTCTTTGTCCACCTGGCAAGTGCCTCATTGGTTTTTCATCTTTTGGATAGTTGAACATAACTTCTTACTCAGAGTCTTAGTCAAGATGGCCACCCTCCCTCGAGATGTTGAGCAATTCACCCTTAGGGAGGTTTAGAATAGACCATTTTCCTTGTCTATGTTATGGATGTAAGGAAAATGCTGTTTATCAGAAAAGCCCCTTTGAGCTGCATTCCCAGTGCATTACTCAGACACCTAAACTGCAAGGGATTTTGCATGGTCAGGGCAACAAAAAATATAATTAATTATTCTTAATGTATTCTATACTATTTCTAGTGATTTTTTAAGGCAGCTTCAGAAGATTTCAAGGACAGACAATAACTGCCAAAAATTTGGTTTCTCTTGGTATTTCCAGACTTATTGAAGAACTGAAGAGAGTTCATTGGCTGCCTCAGGATGCCTCCCAGTCCTACACACTTATGGAGTTCCAGAGCACTCTCTGTAGGAAACATCAGGAGGCACGAGGACTGCTGGAACAATTTCTGCACTACCGCACTCTCATACTGCTCATGGTACATTTTCTTAATTCCTGCATATTTGGGAAACAAGATACTTTACACTGAATTGGTCTTTATACTTTGCATGTTTCAGAATATAATTTAAATTATTTAAAATGTCCAAAACTCAATTACAGATGCAGCCATTCAAAATATATGATACAACCCCATACCACACGAAAATATCTACAGTTCACCGCATTGTAACGCACTACTTTATTGGCTGGCCAAAATGACCAACAGGGGCACTCGTGGTGCATTGGTTGTTAGTAAAATAATTTAATCTCTTTACTGTACATGCTTTAATCCACTTAATATTGAATATTTATATGGAATTTTACAACTAAAGGGAAATTTTAGTAGCTGAGCATAAAAAGAAGAGGAGCATAACGCATCTGAAGGTCATACACGATATTAAGATAGGAACATAAACATATTATGTAAACTGTATATGGCTGGTATTGGTAGTTTAAATAAAAAATACACACCAGCACTCCACTTTCTTCCTAAACATTTTAAGCATCAGAGTCTTTCGTTCGGTTACATACTGTGGTTATTTTGGAAACGTTTTTACGTGCTCCTTCTGATTATATTAAGTTTATATACTTCGTAAAAACTTATGTTTTAACCTTTTCTGTGAATACTTACGCTCGTAAAACACATACTTTTTAGAATTAAATTAATAGGGAATTAATATGGAATCGCGTATTAAGAAATTAATAACGATATAATTACATTCATATCCCTCAAATGATCAATTTCTTTGTAAATGTCTTCATCAGTTTAACTCATTTACCCATGATAACATGTGTGGTGTAATGGCTTAGGCGTGTGCCTTGCATATTGGAGGTCAGGGATTCGAACCCAGCTGTTGCCATGAGTTTTCTTTTAACAAATAAACATTTCTTTGAAGAACTAAAATAGCAAATATTATGGACATGATATTGACATTTTTTATATTTTTAAATATTACAACATGTTAGAAGCTAAGTGATTTACTAATAACAATGAATAATTTAAAACTGCTGCTGTACTGCCACTACAGTATAGCTTGTGGGAAATACATTTATTTGTCCTGCATCACAGTTTAACTCGTTCAGAGCAGCCTACATTACAGCAACCTGCGCAGCCAGGAGAGGCACTTTTCAGGAGATGAAGGTCTGTTTGGAAACAGCTGACGTTTCCTCCAGCTAGCGTTTGACTCCAACAGACCTTCATCTCCTGAAAAGTGCCTCTCCCGGCTGAGCAGGTTGCTGTACCTGGTGGAATGCGTATCTCCACAGATCCCTCCGCCCCCAGCAGAGCACACATTGACCCCTTGCACACCGGCCCAGAACACTCCATCCCAGACTCTCTGCTCACCTCCGGCCAGGAATTGGCTGGTGCTGTCCTCGCTGTCTATCTCCCCTCAGGATGCACCGTCTACACAGCACAATTCATAGGTGACAATGCAACATACAGTTCTCCCAAATATCCAACTTTTGCCCATCAGTCAAGAAAAGGAGGAGAGATTGTATGTGCAGTTCATCGGCATAGATGGGAAAGCCAGATCCGACTGCTACGCTGCTCTACTGTTTCGAAATCTTGTGACTTTTGAAATTTACTGGGGTTGGACCACATCCGTGAATTCAGATGGGTCCAGAGGCAATAGTGCCATGCCTTGCAATCTCCGGGAAACCATTATAGGCATGGTGAATCAGAGATTCTCAAAACTTACTTTGTAGTATTGGAAACGAATAAGTGATCAGATCAACTAAATGCTTCGCAGAAAGAGGCGCTCTTTTCCTCTGGTTTAACAGTCTGCGACACAATGTATCTCCTCTCTAACTTTTCAGTTTACAAGCCATCCAAGGTGATATGGAAGATGAATAATATCTTCCATATCACATTAAATTTGGAAAGCTTTTCACATGTAAATCCACCTATTTTCTAACCGCTTTATCCAGGACGGGTAACAGGTTCACCCCTCCCCTTCCCTCTGCCTGTCTGACTTGTTCCCATTTTTAACCATTCTGTGCCCGAATCGCAGCGGGTGAGAGAGAGTAGGAAGAGACAGAAAAAAGAAAACCCTGTTTTTTTATAGTCAGAAGGCTTCATCTGATGTATAAAAAATATAGCATAATGCCTTCTCACATTATGAAGTCACTTGAACCTGGGATCCACTTTATTCAAACTAAGGTTTCTAAAAATGCAACCAGGTACTAGATATTGTTTAAATAAAAGCTGTGAAATGTAAATTGCGATAATTAAATCTGTAGGTTGCAGGCTCTGTGTTATTCCCGTTTTTATTTAATTATTAATATAACTTAACATTGAATATAAAAAACAAAAAAAGCTAATATAGTGTACATATTTACTTTTTTTTTGTTAGATGAAAAACGGAACCATGTATTGAATTCGGATCGCCTACATAGAACGAACAGCTTAAAAAATAAAACATGTTTACAAAGAAAGTGGATTACAGTAATTCTACCAGCTATATAAATACATATATTTAGATTCTTAAATTAATATCGTTATTAATTTCTTTAGATAAACAATTCCATATTATATTCCCTATTTAGTGGATTCTAAAAAGTATGAGTTTTTTTTACTGCGATAATGAGTGCCAATATTCACAGATTACTTACTTACAGATTACAACAGAGTTAATTACTTAACTCACTTAACTTTGAACGTGTTGTGATATTTAGAAATACCAACAAATTCAATATAGTGTCGAGAATATTTACTATTTTAGGTTTTCAAAGAAATGTTTATTTGTTAAAAGAAAACTCATGGCAATAGCTGGGTTCGAACCCCCGACCATTACACCAACATGTTTCTAAATAATGTAACGCAACAATAACTTCAGCTGTAGCTGAAAAGGGCTGACAAAATGTCTTCACATAATCACAGGTGAATGAATTAAACAGATGCAGACAGTTACAAAGAAAGTGGACCACAGCAATACTTTGAGCTTACAGCCTGTCAAAGGTCATTCATTATTAATACTACTAATAATATCTTCCGTAAAGACTTTGATGCATAAAATATTTATGCATAATTAAAATATTTATGATGAAGGTGGAAGGTTGTGTACTTTTGTCCAACTGAGCAATCTTGCTTATGTAAAATATACAGACTTTTTAATGTTTAATGATTAATATGCTGTAATACACAGTTTAAAATTATTAAAAGTCTACAGAGTATAAAACTTAAATTCTTAATTGGAAAAAGATTGTCCCTCAGCAATGACCAGGTTTCAAAACTGAGCATTTTCTGGCGACAGCTCAAATGCTGTACATGAGACATAAAGCTTTATTAGCTCCACTTGGCGGTTTTACAAAGTGCTTCCAGATACTATTATCATAACATGCGTTATGATGCGTTATGATGCACCATGCCTACCGCATTTTGACACGGCATACTTCACGCATTTTGAATGGTCGGATTTGTATATGTATCCCCGGATAAAATAAAGTCAAGCATAATGTGTTATTTTTTTAAAATTAAAATCAGAAAAAAATATTTTCAAAAGCTTTCTTAAGAAAAGGCTTTTTGAAAACTACATTCTCTTATCCCCCTCTACGTATTGTGAAACACACAGTGATGTTACCTGGGGTCACGGTGTGTTTCTTGTCTTCTACATCAGACACCCTTGCCCAGGCGATCCAGCTGAGGTTGATCAAGCCCTGGCCTGTATTTAGGTGGCATTTTTGCCCATATATCACTACTATTTATTCAAAGCCATCTTCAGGGTCTTGCTCACGCCTGTTATGCCCAAAAGACTGTAGGTGCTACAGAGGGATTGACCTAATCAGGAGCTTACGCTGTGCTTTCCGTCAGTTCCCAAGTGACACTGATTATCAGCATTCTTTTAGAATACAAAGGGAAGAGCTGTTACTCTATTACTGTGTTGAAATTTTGAAGATAAACTTTACCTATTACCTAAACCAAAGGGAAGTGTAAGGACACTGCTGGTTTCTTCTGGTGTTTTATGCAGGTCCAGGAGGACAGTTACAGGGTGTTCCAGAAACTGCAAACCCAGCTGGAGCACTTCAGGTTAGGTCTTGGGAGGGAGCCACTGTACCTGCAGGTTGCCCAGCACAGGGCCCTGGAGCAGAACCTTGAGCAAGCTGAGTGTGTCCTGCAGCGTCTGGGAAGCCTGGCCTCCCTCACAGGCCATATGATAGTCCACACCATGGTCACTATTATCGAACGAGAAGTCACTTCCTTTGTCAATGACGTCATGAAGGTAAAGACACAGGAGTTCTCTCATTATAATATACAAAACACCCTTGTTTCCAGTTTCTGAAAGTGTAGCAGTGATAAAACATTGCAAATGAGAAGCTTGCAGTGCCACCAGATGTCCCCTTTTGTATATCTATGTTTCTAGTCAACCTCTTACCCACCTTTTTGTGATCTATTTTTTAAGTAGACATCTAAATCCAAGATTAATTTCTTGGGGGACAGAAGGGTCTTGCATTGTTTTGGGTTTTATAACTGTTTCAGTTGTTTCCTGTAAGAGAGTAATAATGCTTCATTATTTTATTGTTTGTAACACTGTTAACTGACATGAACAGTTCCATAAACACCTGACATAAGACTGACATGACATTGATTTTTAAGAGCATTAGACAATTTGGCTCCAGCAGTCTGGAAAAAAGCCAGTGGTGAATTCTAACCATCTTCTTTGCAGAACATAGTCACACATGGCTTTCACTAAATGGCTGAGTAGTAGTGAATAACTAGAGGGCCACTATAGATACATTGGATTTAGTCAGCTAGGAACATAGCAAAATAGTGACTTCCTTATTTTTTCTGTGCCTGGTATTTAGAAACAATTCATGACTGTCACGCCCTCTACTTACCGCATTCCCACGCGGAAACGCACCCACACTAGTTGCACTCCAGCCCTGAGCACTTCTGTTAAACGGCACCGCCCCTGCAATTCGGCCAAATACGAAACTACTTCAATCAACGCACCTTCCTCCTCATACAGTACTTAGAACCTTCTGAACCCTCTGCTCTTCGGCCGGTATAGGTTGAACTTTAGTTCACCTTCCTCGCCGTCATATCTCCTTGCCTTCTGACTCCTCGTTACCTACCACGGATCTCTACCTTGGACTGGCCTGCTCCTCGCAACCTAAAACAGATTCAACGCTTCCTTGGTTTCGCTAACTTCTACAGGCGTAGAAGGAGGAAACTTAAACACCTCTTTACCACAGCTTCCCTGCTGCGTCATCCTGATCCCTCCCTTCCGTTTATAGTACAGGTGGATGCTTCGGCATACAGTGTTGGGGCTGTACTCTCTCAACGCCATGGTGAGAAGAACCTTCCACATCCCTGTGCTTTTTTTTCAAGGAAATTATCTCCTGCTGAGGTCAACTAGGATGTGGGTGATCGAGAGCTCCTAGCCATTAAATTGGCCCTTGAGGAGTGGAGACATTGGCTCAAAGGAGCACAACACCCATTCGTGATTGTTACTGACCATAAAAACTTAGCCTATATCCAGTCTGCTAAGCGTCTGAATCCTAGACAGGCAAGATGGTTTCTTTTCTTTTCCAGGTTCGATTTTATCATCATCAATTAGGCTCGAACAACCTGAAGGCTGACACCCTCTCTCACCTACGTGATCCCCCAGACCTCATCCAGAATCCTGAGCCCATCTTCCCTCCTAGCAATATCCACGCGATTGCCCAGAGTCCTATTGACCACCAGGTCCGACGTGCCCTCGCCAACATAACTGTTCCCCCCCAATGTCCTACTGATAGACTCTTTGTACCTGACCCACTTCTTTCCTCCATCCTGCAATGGGGTCACGACTCCCGCTAAGCTGGCCACCCCGATTCCAACCGTACTCTGGACCTTATCAGCTGTGAGTTCTGGTGGCCCTCCATCAAGCAGGACATCTCTGATTATGTCCGGGCGTGGAGAAGACCAGCCTTCTTACAGCGGGGTGTTTTGGACCTGGTACACACAGGGCGTGTGTACCAGGTCCAAAACACCCCGCTGTAAGAAGGCTGGTCTTCTCCAACCCCTTCCCATTCCGGATCGCCCGTGGTCCCACTTATCTGTGGATTTCATTACTGATCTCCCCAAGAGTCATGGTAATACTACCATTATGGTGGTAACAGACTGGTTCTCCAAAGCAGCACATTACCTGCCCTACCTTCGGCCAGTGAAATGGCTGACCTCTTTGTCCGACACATCATCCGCCTCCACGGTATACTATATGATATTGTGTCTGACAGAGGCCCACAGTTCATCTCCAGGTTCTGGAAATCCTTTTGCAAATCCTTAGGCACCACCGTTTCTCTCACCTCGGGCTACCATCCGGAGGCTAATGGTCAAGCTGAATGGACAAACCAGAGCCTCCTAACCTACTTGATGTCCTGCACCACTTCTGCTCAAGACGATTGGTCTTCTCTTCTCCCCTGGGCAGAATACTGTATGCACACAACTCCCTACTCACCTCAGCTACTGGAATGTCCCCCTTCTTCTGCTCATTAGGATATCAACCCTCACTCATCCCCAATACTTCTGCGGCCACGGATATTCCTTCGGTCCGCCATTACTTTATTAAAGTTCGTCGTATCTGGAAGTCTGCCAAGGCCGCTCTCCAGAAGACCTCCCTACGTCACGCCGCAGCCGCCAACCACCACCGCCGCCCTGCTCCTCGACTTAGGAGGGGTCAATTTGTATGGCTCTCCACCCGGAATCTACACCTAGGTCAACCCTCTAAGAAACTCGGTCCTTGCTTCATTGGTCCGTTCCGCATCCTTTCCCAAATTACCCCGGTATCCTACCGTCTGGCTCTTCCTCCCTCACTCAGGATTCACCCCACTTTTCATGTCTTCCTCCTGCATCCTTTCTATTGCTCCCCTCTTTCCAGACCTCAACCCCGACCCCTTCGGCTGATCGATGGTCTCCCTGCCTACATTGTCATCAAAATCATGGACTCACGTTGGCACAATTGCTCACGACAATACCTGGTCAACTGGGAAGGTTATGGTCTAGCGGAGAGATCTTGGGTTCCCGAAAAGGATATCTTGGACCGTTCGCTCATCCTCGATTTCCACAAGACCACCTCGCAGAAGACCACTGGGGCATCCGTAGCCGCCCGTGAAGGGGGGGGTACTGTCACGCCCTCTACTCACCGCATTCCCACGCAGAAACGCACCCACACTAATTGCACTCCAGCCCTGAGCACTTCTGTATCAAATACGAAACTACTTCAATCAACGCACCTTCCTCCTCGCACAGTACTTAGAGCCTTCTGAACCCTCTGCTCTTCGCCCCGGTATTGGTTGTACTTTAGTTCACCTGCCTCGCCGTCGTATCTCCTTGCCTTCTGACTCCTCGTTACCTTCCACGGATCGACTTCGCCTACTGTCTCGCCCCACGGATTTGGAAACCCACTTGTTGATGACCTTTGGATCTGCCTACTCGACTTTGATCTCAGCCTTGCCCAGCTCTGGTTTGGATACCTTCGCTCTTGCCTTTTTCCTCATGGACCTCAGAACCCGACTCGGACTGCCTCTCGTTTTACTCCTTAGGTACCGCATAGGGTCCATCCTCCTGTTTACTTAGCGGGTCATCCCTGACAATGTCTTAATGTTGTGTGTATATATAATAAAATCCAATAACACATATTGGAAATATTGTTGATTTTGTATATCAAAAAAGTGATCAATATCAAAATTTTTCACTGCACATTGTAGTGCAACAAATGTGTTGATTGCAAATCTGGCATATTTTCACTTTCAAAGAAATAAAAAAATAATCTGTTAATGTTTCATAAGTGCGTTTTTTTGCAGGGCCCTATATATAAGTAAGTTTCTTGATACATGAATCAAATTATTGATATTTTTAATTTCTCCCCCACTTTCCTCCTTCCTTGAATCTTTCAAGAGTGGACAACCTGGCCGAGTTAGCCTTTTCCAGGCTCAGCTGGTGTTTGGCACTGAGAGTCAGCTGACTTTGTTTCCACCTGTCACGCTGTTTGAGGAGACTCTGTCAGGGGCCTTGCAGTCAGTGGCTAATTCTGCTCTCCAGGTGAGAAAACTCAGGGCAGCACAGGTACTGGCTTCTGTTGAATGAAAACCATTTATCACACAGAACATCAGATTTTTGTGTGGGGAAAAATAATATTTTTTAATAAAATGACATCTGTAGACATATAGAACTGAAAGCTTTACAAAATGGTCATTAGGAGTGGGAAACTGTCGCCTTGTGCTTGCAAAGCAAATCACAAACCAGAAGTTTTGTTATTTTTTCTTAAAAAAGAAAGTTTCCTATTAAAGAATAGAATTTGTTTTTTTTTAAGGAAGAGAGTGCTGTAGGGGAATTTAGGTTTAGAATAAAATTGCACTCGTAAATGAACCACATTTGTTAAAAATAGACTACATTGGAAGATACAGTACAATAATTCGATTGATAGATATTTAATGTTTTTTGGAAAGGATAATATAATTTTAACTTAAATCCTTCAATTTAAAGAAGATAAATGTGCATTTTTATTCTTTTGGACTCAAGGTATTTGACTCCTTCAGTTACACGGAAGATATAAAGGGGTTCCTGGCAGCAAGTAACTCCACAGTTTGTGCTCCCAGGGGGCCACAGGAGTGGAGTACCTCCAGAGGTGAGTGTATAGGAAGACGGTGATACATGCTAGTTAAACCTGTGGATTTATGCTTTCAGAATTAAAGTTTCACTGCAGTTTTGGATTGAGGTTGAGGATCAGAAATCTATCCTACAGCAAAAACATGAATCAATTGGTGATAGTTCTAATCTAGTCTGTTCACTATTTTTAATACAGTAATTTATCTTCAGTGTGGAATATATAATAATCTTAAAATATTTTATACTATATCATTATATGATTTAGTGATATTGTGAAAATATTTAAGTGAACATAGTGGTGCTTACTGTCCACCTTTGAAGTACTGCACTTGAGTGGGAGGTTGCATTACTTTGTTTTTCAAATGTTCTCTATTTTCTCCTTTTCTTACCACTATACAAGAAAGTTACTTTTCTAGTCTGACAGTACAGAGGAGAGCAGCCAGGTAAATTCATGGTCAGAAGGTAATTTTGTACTCAAAATGTTTAAGGGTACTGAATCTTTTAATTTTGGACCAGAGAAAAGTACAATACTTTATTCAAAAATGAATGCTGTTCTGCATTTATCAAGTGAAATCAGTTGAATTTTCAAGATCAGCAACAATAAAATGACCCCAGGGTACAACTGGAAGTTAAGCTTAGGAACAATGCCTTCCACAAGTCTTTTATTTGAATTTCCACATTGCTTTCAGGTCTAGGGGACACAGAAAACGAGCTGAAGGACATTAGTCCTCTCAAATTTCCTCCCAAGCTGGACTGTGGGGCTGCTCCAGATCCTGGGCTGGTTTTGTCCACTCTGGGTCCTCTAAGAGTCCGGGGACAGAGGCTGAAAGCCCAGTACTACCCACTGTCCAGGTGCCAGCTGGAGTGGCACCTGAGTCTCAATCCAGAAGTGCAGGAGGCAGAGAGAGAGCAGGAAAGGATGATAAAGGTAGCCTACTCTAGGAGGCTTTAGGAGGGGAACAGTGATTTCTTCCAGTGCAAATATTTGCGTTATTCAATAGGTGTACAGTAGATGGGTCTTGTTATAGTTGTCAACACAAAGGCATACTTTGTTCTGAAATTTGATTGAAAACTCAATGTTCTAAAAAAGGGTTTCAGGCACACACAAGAATACAGAGAATTCAGAGCCCCACTATAGCCAAACAGAAACTCCAGGCTTTAATTGAACTCTGGGAACTTGGTACCCAAGACCTGAAAGTTGCCTGCTGGATGCCTGCTTTCAAATACAGATGAAAACCACCTCAAATAAAACACATACTGTAGATGAGCCAGAGAAGAAGCATGTTTATTAATTAACGGGCAGTAAAATATGCCAGGTCTTTTAAAGACTTAAACGTAAAATAATATTATCATGAAAGAAAAGCATAGCTTGCATATACCTGCCTTTTATATATATGTGTGTATGAATGTGTAACAGTTCAGCATGACAGTGTGAAATGTTTTGCATACAGAAGGCTCTCAGTGAAGTGCAGCAGTTCTGCAAGGAACACAGCTGGCTGTCTGATATTCACCATTTCATCAGCCTCTGGAGTCCCAAGTGCCTGGAGGGCTTGAGGGGCTGCACAGCCAGTCAGTATGATGAGCGTATACAGGTGATCAGAGGCTGGACTGACAAAGTAAAGACTGTGCCACAGAAGTTTACCACCACAAACAAGATCATGACTGTGGAGTGCATAGATGTCCAGAAGATAGGTTCGTGCTCAGGATTAAGGAGCCTCTTTGTGATTTCTCTTTGTGATTGAATGAGAATGATGTTTGAATGACATTTTGTGCTGTTCTCCCCATGCAGAGCCTGTGCTATGTTCAATTCATGGAGACATTCTGAGTCTTCTGACATCTGAAGTGGAGCAGCGATCAGAGACCTGGATGTTGGAGTTGAAAAGGGCAGTGGGGACTCTGCGTGTGGCAAATGCTGATTTCAGTGCTTTTGCTCAATATGTCAGCATGGTACTGTGATTGACATCTTTGCACTATCCCATAGTTTCTCTTACCCTAATCTCATTTTGTATTACAGCTGTACTCTAGTCGTTACATAATGTACAGCACTTTTTGGCCATCCATCTTACCACTTAAGGTAAAGTGGTTGTAGGCTGTCAGTTGTTGCTTGCTCTTTATTGCCCAAATCCATCAGAGGTTCTGTGACCGTAGGCATTATTATATTATAGATATAAAGATTTAGATTTATTATGGAGAAAGCACCACATTTTTTATTTATGGTCTTCTTAATCCACTTTAGTTAAGGTAAACTAAAAGATTGATTAAAATGTTGACATTGCTAAACTTGCTCTATGTTATTGTTTACTAGCTGACAATTTAGTTACTAACTTGTTCAGCAAAGGCTTATATATCATATAACTGTTTTCCTGTAGATGTGATTTATTTGACTTTACATAAGTATACAGGATGGAATGGTGATTTCTAGCTGCATTTTTTATGTTCAGGAATTTTGGTACAATTCCTTTTTACTTTAAAAAGAAGGTCTTCTTTAGCTCAGCTGGCAAGACCTGGGTTCGAGCCCATGCTGTGAGGCACAGACTAAGGTGGGAGCATCGAGGGCACAAGCCCTAGAACCCGAATCCATTACAAAACAAAAGGACAGACAATGAAATGTGGGCCATTTCGAAGTCGCAAATGTGTAATAAAAAGTCGCATTTGCGACATAAAAAGTGGTAATTCTGAGTTTTTAAGTCAAAATTCTGAGATTTTAAGTTGCAATTCTCTGATATAAAGTCGCAATTCTGAGTTTTTAAGTCGTAATTCAGATTTAAAGTCGCAGTTCTGAGTTTTTAAGTAATAATTGCAAGATATAAAGTTGGAATTTTGAGATTTAAAGTCGCAATTGTGAGATACCATAGCACGTTCTTTTTTTTTACTCCCTGGCAGAAACGAGCTTCCATAACTCTATACATTAGGGTTGGTGGTAAAATTTACATTTTGATATATAAAATTGCTATATGCATAACACTGTGAAAAGATCTCAAGTTTATGTTTAATGCTGTGTGGTGGAAAAGGGGTAGTTGACATTGCATTGGGCGTGGTCAGTCTCCCATTCTCCCCTGTCACGCCCCTTTATAAGCCCTCTTAGGTTCCTTTTCCTTATCTTACACACACTCTCCTCCGACAGTGGTGATCACACTGACCCCCTCATCGGGGCAACAGGATACATGACACCACATTTCGTTACTTCTGGGCCTTTTGTCTTCAAAGTCTCAAGTTCACCAAGTTGATCCTGTTGTCCTCACTGCTAGGAACCTCCTGCTCCCAGATCCCAACACAGACCCTCCTGCTCCTTCAGATTTAATTCACATTTATATCAACAGAAGCTATAATTTGTATAATAATAGGTTTACATTTTATTTTTTGGGGGGTGCTATCTGTATTGAGGTTGTATGTTCTCCCCATGTTCATATGGGTTTTCACCAGACATTTCCTCCCAAAGTACAAAGATATTCTGGTAACTAGTTGACTTTTGGAAAAAGTAACTCTGGTGTGAATGTATGCGTACTTGGATAAAGTACTTAAAAGGAGGATAGATGGATGCTGGTGAAGTTTTACTCATTCCAAGTAGCTCTTAAAACATCTGTTCTGAGGAGTCCGAAAAGTTGACAAAATGTGAACGCAACTCATTCTCCTCATTAAGGTGAAATGCTACCAGAAAATGTTCTATGACCTGCAACAGCAGTTGGACTATGTGCACTCCCTTCAGGAGACCATCCGCACGAACTACCGGCAGCTCAGCAAGGCTGAGGAAAGCATGGATGAGCAGGTAAGGAAGAGAGAGCACCATCCATCCTTAACTTAAGATGCAACGGATAGGTAGACCGTTAGTTTACAGATCAGATTACTTCATAATCCCCTTTAGAGGAACAGGAGGCATCAACAAACATGAATTCCTGCCTTACATAAATATATATAGGTTTCTGGAACAAGGTAAACATCCTTGTTTCTAAATCTTTTTTTAAAGCTTGAGAATAGATTTTATAGAATCATTTTTGAAACACTGTAATTGTGAACCACCATCATCAGCCTTAGCTGGTTTAAGTCACTTCGAAAAAATGTAATCAAAATGAAAATTTAGTCTTTATGTTGACTTAATACTTCTATTGTATTTCAGACATTTACTTTGAACACTTTAAATGCTAAAAGCAATAATTACTTATGTGATATTGTTCTTAAACTTTTTATTTTCCAGATGCTGGACTTGTGGGACAGTTTTGTGCCTCTTCTGCAGGTCGCAACTGAAACAGTCAGCACACGGCTTCCCTCCATGGTTGAGACCCTGAATAGCATCTATACCTCTTTGTCTGAGGAGCTACAGGGCCTTGTGTCCACTGCCACCACAGGCCAGTATCTGCAGCCTTCCCAGTGTGCTGCAGTAGTGCTGGAGGAGCTGAAGGGAATAGCTCAACAATTCCAGACTGTGGCAGGAAAGCTATATGACCTGAACAGGACTAGCCAGAGCCTGACAGGTCAGAATTAGCCACATCCTGACAAATGCTTTCAACAAGAAGTTATGCTGTTTAGTAATGAGACTAGTGCCCTGCTGAAGCTAAGCAAATTATTAGAACTTAAAGAAAAATGTAATAAGAATTTATGGAATTCCTTTTTTTGTGTATAGTGTATACTGTAATTTTAAAATTCACTATTATTGTTTTGTTTTAAAAAAAATCCAACATTTTAAGCTGCAGTACAAATATTGCAAATAGTACAATATTAATTAGAATGTAGATGTTTGTAACTCTAAGTCCTATCAACATCACAGCATTTGGCTATACTCCAAACATAAGGTGCTTCTGCAAAACTAAAAACCTCATAGTAACAAGCTCTTTACTGTAACCACTAGATCACCTTAGACGCTTGAACGTCTAAGATATTTGTTACCATGGAAGAGTACAGACTATAATTTTTTTATTTATTTTTTTTGTAGATCAAAACTTTAAACCTTTCTTGTCTGTTAGGAAGCCCACTGGACTTGTCTTTCATCCCTTCTACTGAACGGAAGTTAGAGGCCAGAAAGGGTGTGTGGGAGCTCCTCAGCCAGGCCACAATGCAGATCAATGAGTGGAAACGCATTCTATTCAGTAAGGTATGTAAGGCCCTCTTTTTATGCTCTTTCATTCTAGAATGCATAGTGTATCAGTAAAAGTCTGACTGTCAAAACTCCAAACCCCATACTCTGAGGCTGGTGGCCATTTTAGTGCATTGCAGCCATTATAATTTTTAATGGACATATTGTATAATTTTCTCTTGATACTCCTCTGGTCTGAATTATTCTCCCTCTCCTTGCAGTTTGTGGTGGCACATGCACAAGAGAAGGTTAATGATTGGCTCAATCAGGCATCCTTGCTGGTTCAAACTCTACCGGCCCAGGACAATGTCTTCAAAGAGACCATGCAGCTCATTGAGAACTTCAGCCAGCAGCTGCCCCTACTGCTCAAGCTCAGCAGCCCCACACTCAAGCACAAACATTGGAGACACATTTTTAAAGGTCAGCATGGGACTTCCATCCCTGTGAACTAAAACAAAAATAATAATAATTCCTTACATTTATATAGCACTTTTCTGGACTCTCCTCCACCACCACTACATTGGCAGCACCCCTCTGGATGATGCAATAGCAGCCATAGTACGCCAATATGCTCAACACACGTTAATTATCACTGGGGAGGAGAACAGAGTGATGAAGCCAATTCATAGAAGTGGATTATTAGAAGGCCAAGATTGGTAAAGTCCAATGGGAAATTTGGTCAGGACAAATTGGGATTTTTAATTATCACAGAGTCAGGACCACAGCTCATATGAAGGACAGCACCTTTTTATAGTATTACATCCCCGTCACTATACTGGGGCATTAGGACTCACACAGATTGTAAGGTGAGTGCCCCCTACTGTCCCCACTAACATCTCTTCTAGCAGCAACCTTAGCTCTCATCCAGGTACTGGCCAGGCTCACACCTGCTTAGATTCAGTGGGTTAGCCGCTGGCAAATTCTTATTCTTATTCTTACTCTCTTTAGCAGAGGTACAGTTTATTTTAAAAACAACTCATTTTAGAGCTCATTTGTAAGCCATGTGTAAGTACTAGTACAAAAACAGCTTGTCAAAAAACAGCTGTAGCAACTGTTTATATATTATACTGAAGCTGTGTATTGCTAGAAAATAAGTAATACTGTACATAGCAAATACAGACCTATTAGTACAACTAATGTAAGCCTGTTTCATGAAGGCTATAGAAAGGGCATTTTTTAATAAAGTAATACTATACAGCCAATATACTATATTTCTGAAGATGTATATTATTATGTTTATACTGTTCCTGTTAACAAAGGTAGATTGTAAGTTGTAGAAGATAAGTGAATAAACAGCAGGTCAGCAAGTGATGACTTTGTCTCTCAACAGGACTGGGTTTGATGTATGAGACTGAATGGCACCTCACAGTTGCAGATTTGCTCCCCAAAAGTCTGCTGGAGTATCAGAACAGCATCACCAAGGTAGTCCCACAATTAACTTGAAATTCAACCTGGGAAACTACAAAAACAGAATAGCATTAAAAATAAAATTCTATTGCTCTTTCATGTTCTGTGAGCTGCAAGGCATTTGAAAGCCACAGAGTTCTGGTTGTTCCAAACTTGCTCTACTAAGACATGAAGAGATAAAAAATATTTAGATCTTTCTTTTTCTGCTTTAACATATATTTTATACAAGAACTGACAGCATGTGAAAGATGAAATCGATCATACTGCAAATGCAAATTGAGTCTTCAGCTGTGTGATTCATGAAAAATGATGGAAAATTTGTATAAACCTCTGTAGGCATTCAAAAGCATATACTTATGTTGGCTGTGACTTATATATTGGACAATAGTAAATGTACAATTTAATATGTACATAAAACATTATTTAGAGGTAGCGCATACTGAGGAATTCTTAACTTTAGTTACCCTATAACAAGAGAAATCTGTCTGTACACTGAACATTCTGAGAACAGGGCTGGGAATAGAGAGTGACTATTCATTTAGTCTTTAACTCCCTACACATCTCATGGAGTGAAGTCACTCCAGGAGGAACTTCACATTTCTTCTGATTTTAGTGTGTTCTTGTGTTTTTTTCTTACCTCTTTTCAAGTCACCCTACAGTAGCTGTGGTAGAACTTCTCAAAAGAACATGATAACATTAGAATGGTAACAAACAAGAGGTTATTCAATTCATCTAACCCTACAGATAGGACTAAGACTTACATGTATATCTAATATAAGAATCCACTACAGATGAAAAGTTTTAAATCAAGGATTGCTGTTAGGAATTATGTTTTTAGCTGTAGTTTTCACTTAATCCTTCTTATAATAATTTCAGGTCTGGCAAGATGCGAAAGCCGAGGCGGACATGGAACAGGCATTCAGGAAATTGCAGAGGAGGTGGAATGTGGAGCACTTCCGCTTGGCTAATTTCATTGTGAAAGTGTGGCAAGAAGATCCACCCCCTGACCGCTCTAAGAGGCCACCTAGTGGTCGCCTGCATGATGTGACAAGAAAGCAGCACTATCAGGACAGTGGCACCTTCACTATTATAGGTTAGCTAATCAGATCTTTCTTCCCTTTCCTGAATGAGTACTTGGTTCCAGTACTTGGACTGGAATTTGGTGTAGCAAAATAAATTATGTTATTTAAATAAGTGGCATTAACAACTGTGAGAAAAATTATCATCCTGATTTGCATTTCATTTATTTGATTGGCTTATTTTAGGCATCTGTAGTCCTTTTCTTTGTGATTGTAAATTATGCTGCTAGAAAGCCCCATTGTCTGACCTCCAGGCTTTGAGAATCTCCTGGCTCTTGCTGAGGACAGTGTGATGACGCTCTCCAACATGATGCTATCTCCTCACATCTCAGAGTTCCGACAGGAGGTAGAGAACTGGGTGCACCTTCTTCAGGAATTGGGTATGATGAAGTAACAAAAATAAAGACATGGCAACATAGACTTGTTTAAACTCTGTCTTCTATTCTAAGGTAGTTTTTAATATTCATATGCTTGTTGTTTCAACTTTTTGAAATATAAAAATCAAATCAAAGTTTATTTATCAAATGCACAACAATACAGCATGCAGCAGTAGTTGCTGGCAATGAAATGTCTTTTCTGCAAGCTCACAAAAATCACAAGAATCACAAAAATCATAAAAACAACAAAAACAAAAACTACAAAGGCACAAAAACCACAACATGTGCTGAATGACTAGGTATTTGAAGTTCAGACAATGACAACTGTCATCTAGCATTTTCTTTTTGTGCTGTCCATGTGACATACTACTGCTGTACCGCCATACGTCTCACAATATGCTGAAAACCATAATATAAGATATAAGCAGGAAAAACAGGTCAATTTCTCAGACAGAGTCCCTTCAGTCTGTCTTTTTTTACTAATGGTGGACATAAAAGTTGTTTCCCCTTCTCCTAATATGAGAGTAAACTGAATAATTATTTTTTTTTGGAGTGCCACACAATCTGGGTTTTGCACAATATAATTTATAATGGAATCTATTAGGTTACAGTTTTAAAGGTTTTGGAGGTTCTATGAATATGTAAATGTGTCTGCCTTGGGAACTACAATCAAGAACATCCCCGTTGAGAAATGTCAATATTGCATTACATCACTTCTGCTCTGCCTTGTACTGTCTCATTAAATGCATATTCCACATTGACACTCATTTACATTGCAGGTCACAGCAGAAGTGAGGCATACACAGTTTGCATTTCTAAATACTTGCATTGTAGACCATTATAGGATTATAGGACGTACTGTATATTTAGTGATATAAGGGCTTTGTACTGAAACCATTAAAATTGGAACAGTAAATTGATAAGTGCTTTGACAACTTATCTTATCAACTTATTTCTAGCAATATACCTGAGCGGTTGGTATAATTGGAGGCACGCAAATTATTTGTTCTCTGGCACAGCTTTGTTGAGAGGAGTAATAATCCAGGCATGCTTAGTTAAATAAATATCTATTACAATGACAAAACACAAACTACACTGCACAACATAAAACACACAAAGTTACTTTATGTACAGTATTTACAACAAGGTGTTTCAAAGACCTAACATTCTGGTCACCCAGAAAACCCCATACTACTACTAAGCATTAAACTCTTAATATGCCTATAGTGGCCACACAAGAGAAGTGCTGCCTTCTAACTAAATATAAAGCAGTTAAATCTCTCTCTGTACCCCGGATGCCACAATATAAATGGGAGCGTATATCCTATGCAGTATAGATGATTCTAACCCACAACTTACCTACAGTAGGTATACTAAGATAAACTTTAAAATTGTTTCTGCTCAAGGGACCCCCCCAGGCCTCAGCAAACATACTCTCTCCTTTGAATATTAAAGTGTTTACTCTTCCTTGTGTCATAAACTTTATCTAAAATCTAAGAGACACTTCTAAGTCACCTAAAGCTGTAACAATATGTATTTACTATTCTGAACTAAACTTTATCAACTATGTCTGGAGTAATAGTTTAACTATTCATGAATTGTAATAGAAATATTAAAGCTTTTTCAACATAGATCCATTGGCAAAACGTTTCTTGATAAGATTTGAACTTCCTGAAGAAAATGGCTCTGTGTCTGGGTTTGTCGTCATGGTCTGATTTGTCAGCTGCTGGCTCTGTTCAAGGGGTATCCTTGAGAAGAGACACAGAGAAAGGGAGTTTTCATTTGTCATTTAAAACAGCCAGTGCACAGTAGTCTGATTGGATCCGGTAGCAAAAAATATGGGTGGAAGGAAGTTCATTCCCACTATTGTGCTTTACAGTACACATCTTTGCAGTCATGTGGCTGGTCGTGTCAGATTGCCAAGTTAGATAGAGACAGAAAAGGAGAGCAAATGATAAGTAACATATAGTAAGAACAGTTACAAAGAGAGGATGCCATTCTAGCCTGTTACGTAGCTAGTACTCAATTGATACAAGTATCTTATTCAGCTGTTTCTTGATACAAGACAGGGTATCATGTAATGCTGGGTGTCATTTTAAACACTGGGTAAAGAAGAGCATCCTCTTCTCATTTTTAAATACATTTCTACTTTGTCATCTGTCTCACATTTTACTCTTTTGAAGTCTACTGAGTTGAACCTTGTCAATGCTTTTAAGGATTTTGAATACTTGTTTCAAGTCTCTTCGTAGTCTGTTTTGTTTAAGACTGAAATTTATGATTTTTCAACTTTTCAAAGTAGGACATTGCATACTGGAATGTATCTGGTTTCTATTCTCTAGACTGATTTCAGACACATTGACCACAATTGTTCCGAATTTTTAAAATGATGCCTTACTAGTGCTTTATGCAATTTTAACATAGTATGTACATTCTTTGCCTTACACTAAATATCCTAAAATTGTTTTGCCCTTTTAACTGCTTCCCCATATTGTCTAGTTTTAGAATATTATGTGTTAATCGGTTCAATCACATGAATTGATTTACTTAAGCTCTTTTTTATTTTATTTATAATGTGCAGAAGAGCTCCTAGGTTTCTGGCAGCGATACCAGCAGGAGTGGGTTTTCCTTAGCAAAATATTTTATGAAACTGAAGTCAGCATTCAGAAACCTGAGCTGGTAAGAGAAATTTGGGATTTATTGAACACTTTTGTACTGTTTTCAGTATTTATAATAAATAATATGGTCATTCTAAGGCTATCTTGCATTTAGACACCTATTTACTAACCCTACTGGAAGATTAGTTACAATTAATGGATGTTGTTTTGCAGTATATATTCCTCAAACTGAGGCTCTAGCTTATACCATCTACTAAGTAGTAACATAAAAACTGTAGCATGTAATTATCTTGCTGTTCACCATATGTAAGAAGGATTAACTTGATTATTTAAAGTTGTCTTATACTTATAAGTGTTGTGTGATATGTGTGTATATATAAAGAGAAAATGTTTTTTGGCCATGTTACAATATCTACAAGTATCTAGACTGTATCTTATACAGGTCTATAGTATATAGCTTTTATAATTTATGAAGACAAGTACAGAGCTTTTACAGTATATTATTTATTTATATAGAATCATAAAGTATTATTTTAAATGTATTACAAAATCATGTGTCCATAAAGACAGTTTATTTCTGTATGGTGTGCAAGCCATTAATAATCAGCTCTTACTGTAATATATCTCCAGTTTTGCAGATTCAGAACAGTAGATTCAAATTACCGCGATATGATGCAAGCTACATCCTGCAGCCCTAGGGTGCTGAACATAGTCCGACATGGGAAAAAGACTGGCACACCAGGGCAGTTTCAGGGCCAGTGCTTGAGATCCGTCTTTATGGAAGAGCTGTCCACAATGGAGAAGATCTCTAACCAGCTTCTTTTCCTCCTGGATTCACCCAGATGTGAATTTCCAAGATTGAATTTCCTAAGTGATGGAGATGTGATAAAGCTTTTATCGCTACACCCAAACCACTCTGCACTTCTGCCTCTGGTTCGTAAATGCTTTCCCAGTGTCAAGGAGCTGGTACTCAAGACCCTTGATCAGCAACATCACACCATGACCAGCATGGACCTCTCTGACTTGCAAATGTCTGTGATAGGAGTAAATGGAAACCTGGGGGAAAAGCTGCCCTTTTCTTCTCCTCTGCCATCTAACTACAATCTTTTGGCCTGGCTAAGTGATTTGGAACAACGAATGAGGGAGGCGGTGTTCCGCCTGCTGTGGGACTGTATAGTAGCCAGGATGACACCTGCACCAGTGACGCAAACAGAAACATGGAACCAATATAAAAGATCAAGTGATTCAGATGAGTTTAATGACCCTTCATGGGATCTGACTTCCCAGTTTCCTTTACAATGCCTTCTAGTGGCAGAAGAAGTGTTGTGGTGCAAGGAAATCCAGAGCTCTTTCCTTAACCAAACTGTTGTCAAGAGGACCAGACTGAAAGCACGCTATGCAACCAAACTGAAAGGCTTGATCCAGATTATCCAGGAACACTCCTTACGCTATGGAGAAAGTCTAGATTCACAGCGAGTTATGTCAGCTTTCAAGGCTTTAGTCTTAGTTGCCATGAAACACTGTGATCTGATGTCGAGGTTTTTAGAACAAAAGACTGAAGTTGAATCATCCTTTGAGTGGCAGAAGCTGCTAAAATATAGTTTGAATTCAGATCCAAAACGTGATCAAGAGGACTCAGACCTGTTAGATTCTGGGTTGCATGCAAAGTTGTGTTATGTTGATGTTCTGGGTTCCCATATACCCTATGGTTATGAGTATGTGGGACCTGATGATTGGATGATTGTGAACACCCCCTCCTCTGATAGAGCAGTTTTAGGGATACTTCTTTCCTTAACCAGTTATAGATCAAGTTTAGTAATTGGACCCAGTATGTCAGGGAAGAGCAAAACTGTTGTTCACTTAGGCAAAGTTCTAGGTCAACAAGTAGTTACTTTGCAATATACCCGAGAGATGAGCCCCAGTATTGTTCTCCAGATGCTTAGCGGTGCCATTCAAACTGGAGCTTGGCTGGTTTTGGAATGTGTGAATGTCATGACCCAAGGAGACCTTTCCTTACTTGGGCAATACTTCTCTGACATCCAGCGTGCTCTGACTGCATTGCAGAAAAATCAGCAACATATTGCAGAATTCCAGGAGCAGATTCAACCACATAATGAAACACTTCAGTCTTCAAGTTCACTACTGCAAAATGGTATTAAAGAAGATTTCTTAACCCCTCCTTCAGGTTATATCTTGGGATGTAGTCAAAATCCTTCTGAAATAAATAATGTTACACCAGTTAGGATCTCTCAAACAAAACCTTATGAACCTCAGTCTTTTGGGCTGATATCTTTTGCTGGAAGAACTTGTTTAGCTAAACATGGCTATGGATGTGTTCTCATTATGTCTGGTTCCACTTCGGAGATCCCTGAGAATCTCCGTGTTGCTACTAGGCCTATATCATTAATTCAGCCGGACTACTTAATCATTGCTGAGGTTTCACTAGCAGCCCTTGGGTTCTCTGAGGCACAATCACTGGCCCACCGCTTGGTCTGCCTCCTGACTTTGGCCCAAAAATCACTTTGCCTTCCTCAGTTTATCAACAACTGTACTAGCTGGCTTGTGGTTCTTAAAAACATCATAACTACTGCGGGGATACACTTACATGAACATCACCTAAAGGGTAGTAAAAATATTAAAAAAAGCTCAACCAAGGTCATAGATCACATATGTGAGCCAAATGAACAAAAAGACCAAACTGACCTAATGTGGCAACCTGAAGAACAGAAGAAGGTCTCCAAAAGCTTGTGTTCTTCAAACTTCAGAAGATCTTCCATATCTACACTACTGCTTGAGGCACAGGATGAAGAGCAAGCTATTCTAAAAGCCATTTCATTAGTTGTTGTTACGGCCATCTTAGACCCTGAAAAAGTATCACATTTTCAGAGTCTTCTTGAAGATATTTTCTCTGCTTCCCCCCTTCAGGGAACAGAAACAGACGAGATTGCAATTCTGTCCTCTGCAGTGACACAAGAGCTTCAGGAGATAGGTCTGCACTCAGATCAATGGACCATCAAGAATGTCCTCTCCCTTTATGAAGCACTGAAGCTGTCAAGAGCTGTCATCCTTGTGGGACCAGCAGGCAGTGGAAAGACTGCCTGCTACAGGACTCTGGTAGGAGCCTTAAGAAAACTGGCGGTCAAAACAGAGGAGGAAGACTATAATGAGGAGTGCATGCAAAGTCCAGAGTCTGTGACTTTGAAATCTAAATGGAGTTCTGTGGACACTATGGTTATCTTCCCCAACAGTGTTTCAGAGGAGGAGTTTTCGGGAATTTGTAATCATGATGAGCAGCATGGCGGTTGGTGGAGGGCATTTACAAAGATATTGAAGGACTCTGAAAGACGAGATTTCTCCACAAGAGAAAGACAAAAAAGCCAAACTCATAAAGGAAAGTGGGTGGTGCTGGATGGAGAGCCCTTGGCTGAAGGTTGGATGGATCAACTTAGCACTTTATTTGATCTTGAAGATCCATATCTGTGCTTCTCCAGTGGTCAGAAAGTGAGACCTTCTCCTGAACAAGTCAAGTTACTCATGGAAGTGACAGAGCTGGCCAGTGCTTCACCATCAACTGTGACACGGTGTGGGATAGTTTATCACTCTGGGAAAGAAGTCTGGAAAGCCATATGGAAGGCAGAACTGGAGACACTGTACCGGGAATTCTCTCTGGATCAGACAACTCTGAGACTGTGGAATAGGCTGGCAGAAGACCTGTTCTCAAGCACACTCAGCTTTCTTAAACACAAAGCACTTTCCCCAGTACTGCTTGAGGGCAGCATCCTCAGTGCAGACAAGACAACGGCACATGGAGTGCAGGAAGTGATGTCATTCACCAGGATTCTGCATTCTTTCCTAGAGCAATATCTCATTGGGAAAGGCAAAGCGCTGCTGGCAGGACCCAGGAACATAAACAAAACTGGTAATGATAGTGATAATGAGTTTTCATCATAATATGAAATATTGTTTATATAGCTTCTTAAAAACCTATGCACAGTTGTTAATTTATTATCTATTGTATTAAATTATAGTTACTTTATACCTGAGATTGAGATTGAGTCACAATTGTGACATTTTCCTAGATCAGACTGTGAAAAGCTTTAGAATGTTTATATAATTTATTATGAATTATTTTCTTCTTAATATTGTTGTTAGTGTAAGATGTTGTTAACATACTTACTGAGGTGTTGTAATTTGCCTCGCTAACTAGCCTCCTCCAGTGCATCCTATCTGTTGTTAACAACATTATTTTGTATGTGAATTAATTAAAACACTTTAAGTCATGATTACTAAGATTTATTATTAATAAAAATGTTTGATCATCTACTAAATTGTGGTACATTATGGAAAATAGAGGGCACTATGATGTCAGTGACAATTTCCTCTTTATGTTTGAAGCTGAAAGTCCTTCAACAACTAAGTTGGAAGACCCTGGAAACCTATTATCTCAGAAGCATCTTCAAGCCAAAAACATATTTGTGGTGTCATATGTCTGGGGTTTTGGAGGACATCTGCATCCCAAGTAAGATTTAGGTTCTGTATGATTTGTTTAAACCATCTTTGTACTGAAAGTGCATTTGTAGTGGTTTCCAAAAAAACAAACTTATTTAGTGTGTGCAAACATCTACAAGCTCTCTGTCTCTTCTACAAGAACTACTATTGCTCAATAATGGCCATCAGAGGTGATAAGAGAAGTTCCTTTGAGAATACAGGAATACATTGCATAGTGCTGTTGCTGTTAACACTGATTTGCCATACTGCTCTTTCTCCTTACAGTTATTTAATCAATTCAGGAAAGACACAAACACCAACATGTACACACTCACACCAGAGTCAATTTTTCCAAAAGCCAACTAAGCTCTCTCTCATCCTAGCATTACTCCCGCATCAGCAGAGTTCGCTTGTCAGCACACCCATCTCCATTTGGTGGTTTGAACCAAATCTTTGAGCTGACGTTGCCATTAAATGCAACCGAGAAATACTCCAACCGGCGCGTCACTCCGCCTGCCGTCAGGGGGGGAAGGAGAACAAAGTAATGTAGCCAATTCATAGAGGGGGATTATTAGGAGGCATGGGATATTTGGCCAGAATGCCGGGGTTACACCCCTACTCTTTTCGATAAACACCCTGGGATTTTAATGACCACAGAGTCAGGACCTCCGTTTTAGACGGCGCTTGTTTACAGTATAGTGTCCCTGTCACTATACTGGGGCATTAGGACCCACATGGACCGCACCCCCTGCTGGCCCCACTAACACCTCTTCCAGAAGCAAACTTAGGTTTTCCCTGCAGGTCTCCTATCCAGGTACTGACCAGGCTCACACCTGCTTAGCTTCAGTGGGTTCAAAAGCCAACTAAGCTCACAGTATATATTTGGATTGTAGGTGGAATCCAGAGCACCCAGAGGAAAACCATGTAATCACTGGGAAAACGTGCAAACTCCATGAAGATATTCCCACAATTCCCACAATCCTTCTCCTATTGTGATTCTGCTAGAATACAATTTTTGGTTAAATAAATTATTCTGTAACATAATTTGGAACATAGTTTGATTTTATCTGGGTTTCCATTAGCAAGTTACTTTGAGTCCTTAGTGCTGTGAAATCTTTTCTGCATATTTTTTGCTTCCTTCATTGACTGAAATGTTTGTTCTGTGGATTCATAATAGACCCATAACTTTGCCAAAACTGTGCAGACTGTGTTTCACTTCCTCCTTCCCAAATATTTTCATAACTCCTCTAAAGGCATGTCACTTTCAGCACATCAGCCATGCAGGCAGGTTAGAAAAATACTCTGGAGTCATTGTAGAGCAGTGGTGCTTGTTGATGAGTAAATCAAATGATGAGGTCTTTGTTGAAGAGAACAATTAGCTCTGTCCACAATCACTACTTTCTCAAGCATTTTTTTGCCATAGCAGTTTGGAAAATAAATCTGTCTCCTCTCCTTCAGTGATGCCCAATATCTTTATATTTTGCTGGCAATATTGTACCTCCAGATCATTCACCCTGACTTGGACAGAGTTGTTAGTAGAGTGTAGGTCCTGACTAATTTTCTCGAGAGTCTGTATGCAATTGTCACAGGCAGTCAGGACCTTATCCACTTTCCATCCCCTGCTTAGCTCATGTTGTGCCATTTGAAGGGATAAAAATAAGTTCGTCTCAATAGAATTAAGACAGTTATCAATAAACTTCATTGTGTCGTCAACCACCTTCTTCAGTTCTTGAGATTTTATTGCAGCATGAATAGGTGTATTTGAGTCAAGATCTCCTGCCTCACACACACGTTCGTTCAAGAAGGTGTCTGTCACAAATCGCACTCTGTCTCACAAGCACACAAGCACATTGCCATGCACAGCAAGCACTCACGCCCTAATTAAGATCACACTCTTTTCCTATTTAAACCCCCTCTTCCCATCTTCCCCTCGCTCGCTATTGAGGACTTCCCAAGAAGAACTTACCCTATATACCATTGTTGTTCTACTTACTCTGCTTTTGGCTTTTGCTCACAAACCTCGGACTACTCCTTGCCTTGTGATTCGGATACCTTCTCTAGATAACAAAGATTCATGTCTTTGGCTTCGCATAGGGTTCTTTTGTTACCAACAGACAACCCCCTGACTGTCAGCTGGTCATCTGTCTCTGACATCTTTTCACTGTGGGTTTTGGGCTGCAACACTTGTATACACTATTCAGTGCTGAATAAGGAAAAATATTAAATTATCACCTCAAACAACAATCCAACTCTAAATAACAGTAACTGCAGCTAATTTGAAAAAATTGCAGAGGAGCTCAGAAAAATGCTAATACTACATTGCTCTCCTGCTTCTCTGTGTGTGCTACTGTATATGTCTGCTCGCTGCAAACTATAGTTGCTTCCATTAGTCCCCCACTGCGACCAGGTTGGAGGAGTGAAGACACAGTAATTAATCTTTACAGACTCCAATGAATGTATTAATGCATAGCCAAAATTGATATGCCTTTCTGTATAAAACAAATTTTTAAATTATATGATATGTTAAAAATATTAGTAATGCCATTACTAATACAACAATGATGTCCTCATACACTCATATACAAGAAAAGGTGCCCATGGGAATGCATGCTCATTAAACCCATGTAAAGACTACTAAGCTACTAAGTGAGGTATTAATATCATTCCATAATTAAAGACATTGATATGAGGTTGACAACATGTTTTGGGTCATAGTTTCCATTACTTTTGATATTACTATTCCAAAGTACTGAAGGCCTGTCCATAAGGATGTATGCATTACTTCTGGGTTTGCAGATATTGGTTGAGGTTTGATGCCTTTGCCAGGAAGTCACTCTATGAGAGCTGGTACAGCATTGAAATACCCCAGGAGGGGACTGTTTATGATTACTTGATTAATCAGAATGAGGGAACCCTGGAGATGATGAACACTGGACTTTTAAACAGCAGGATAAAGACCCCTCCCTTGTCATACTCTATACCACCACAGGTCAGTAAGTCACTACAGCTATGCTATAGAATTGTTTTACACATTAACCCCAAGTAAAAGGAATGTATGTATATACAAAAGATTACATTAAGGATATGATAATACTATGTGCACATTACTCGCACTATGAAGAAAAGGAAATTGCAAGTTTTCTAGCAGTGAAATAAAATAATTTGAGACAATCACTATCAGGTGGCACTGAGAGCATTTTCCTCTGGAGTTAAATTTTCTCAACATATTCTAAATTTCCTTGTGAAAGTTGAAAGGTTCAGATCTAGAAATGAGGAAAAATGTCAAATAATTTATTTACCATGGTGGAGGAAGTTCATACTGAATTTGCCTAAATGGAAATTCTATACAGTGGTTGTGTATAAAGAAAAAATAAAATTAAGAGTAAGCATTAGCAGAACATATTTTGTAATGAGTAGAAGTCCTTAACAGTGGCACTGTGTTGTATTCCAGTTTGAGAAGTATGCATATCTGCTGGATGTACTGTTGGATTCCAGACAGCCAGCCCTTTTAGTGGGAGAAACCGGGGCTGGAAAAACCACCTTGTCCCAGTCCCTGCTCAACTACGAACGTCCCCACGTGCGGCTCCCCATTACCCCCTGCCTCAGAGCTGCTGACGTACGTAATGTGCTGGAGAACATGTGGAGCCCCAGGGCTAAGCTCTCAGCAGCAGGACTGTCCCCTGCGGGAAGCAAACAGTCTTGCCTGTTCATAGATGACCTCCATCATACCACATGTGGTAAGTTCTGTTGGGAACAAATACTGTAGGAGAATCGGAGTAACACTTGGAGCACATACTGTACTTCATTCACCAGTATAATTCTGGCATTCGAATGCCAAATCCAGTGCTAATTTTGAAAACTAAACAATATGTTTTCAGGTATAGTACATCTTCTTAAGCAGAAAATCGTCATAACCCAAAGAAGACAAGAACTGTACCATTATTCTAATAACTTCTTTTTAGAAGTCCCGGCAAAAGCTTAGCTACCATCCTCTCTGACTAGATTGAGGAACAATATCTTTAGTAGAAAGAATGACATGGTGCAGCTGGCTTTGATAGTGTGGTGCTTCACACAGAAGAGTGTTTGTCACACCAAGCATCTCTTGTACAAATATAAGCTACTGTATAAGCAGGCAAATAACATTCAGTTTAAACTTTTACATTAATTTATAAGATAATAAAAATAAAATCCCCACTACTCTACTCTGTAATATGATGTGATAATTTTCTCCTAATTAAGAAATAGGATTTCTACTTTGACTTGGCTGTTTGGGGTTAGATTGAATTTATTTCTAGTTATGCAATGTAAATTAATTGGCAATGGAGCAGAATGTTTTGTGGTGTTCTAATGGTTTAAACAAAACCATTTTTATGTAGTTTTCAGTCTTGTATGAAAAATGTACAGAGCCCTTCTGCTTAGTGATCAAATAATGACACTGGTTTTAAGTCCTAAAAATGTCTTTTGTTCTGTTATGGAGAAGTTTTTGAGAATTGTTCTGTTTGACTTACAGATGTTGGTTCAAAAATTTCATCTGTGCTGGAGACCTTACGACAGTGCATGTCAAAGGGTGGTGTGCTCACTTCAGATGGTTACCACTTCAAGCTTTTAAACTCGGGTGCTGTGAGTTATTTGGCTACCTGTGTTTCGCCTGAGTGCTGCAGTTCTATGACAATTTGCATTTCTCCCCGTTTCTTCCGTCTCTTTTCTGTGCTCACCTTGCCAAGCTTAGTCACAGAACACCTATTGTCTATACACTCTCCCAGGGTGTTACACTGGCTGAAGGACTTGCACATCACTGCTGTGTCACAATACACAGAATTAGCTAGCTGCATTATTGGTGCCACTGTTGATCTCTACAGTGCTGTGAAAGAAAACTTTCCACCCCATCAACAACAGCCATACCTTCTGTTTTCCTACCATGATCTCCAGAAGGTATTCCAAGGCATGTTTCTTTGGACTCCTCGTACCACAGCACGACAGTATCCTCAAGGAAAGACCAGCTCACTGGGAACAGATTCTGCCCTGGGTTTTGCCAACATTTCCTCAACACATGGTTCTTTAGCTGCTGTTCTGAATATTACCCGTCTCTGGATTCATGAATGTTTTCGCACTTTTGGAGATCGTCTCTCATCAGAGAATGAGAAAAGAGTTCTAGCATCTTTGTTAAATAAAGTTTCACAGAAATATTTCTGCCCCAAAGAATCTGATTCTCAGAAAACCAAAGGGGAAAATGAGTCATGTGCAATGCCATCAGAAAACAATCAAAACTCAGAGAAATCAGAAATCATCCTTCCTCTGCCTGACAAAGATGATCAGAGTGAAGATATCATTTCTTCTGATTCAGAGACCTGTCAAGTCCAGTCTGAAGGTACTGTGGGTGACTTGACAAGTGTAGAACTCCCAGCATCCTCACTGAAGACTGAGACTGAGGAGTTTGTGTACTCATCTGAAGAAGAAAGTAGTGCAAGCACCATCACTCCCATAGAGCCCCTGGAGAGTAATTTAGAGATTTGTAGTGATGAAGACGTGAAAAAGATTCCAGCTGAAACATGTGATAAAGACAATATAAATACCAGCTCTAGAGATGATGAACGGAAGTCTTTATACTTGAAAGAATCTTTTGCTAAATCCTTGATGACAACTACAAAATCCACCTTTTCTGATAGTGTGCAAAGTTTGATTTTACAGCCATCTCCTCCTAAACAAGGCAAGCACCCTAGAACAGCTGATAAAAATATAAAAAGAAGAGACAACTTGGGAATATATTTTAAACTAAGCATTGTTAATGAAGTGCCAAACCAAAAGATAACAAGTTTTCTTCTCCCCATCCAGTTACTTCAGGGTGTTGATGCAAAGGATATAATCTTCAGCACAAACTTCTGTGAATCACTGCAGTCTCCCACTCAGCAGTACAGCCTCAAACGTAGCTCTGTATATCAGGAAAAAGATATGGATCTTCTTATTCAACAGCTGTCCTCTTTACTGCAGTGGCAGTGCCGAGAGGAGATGATTGACAAAGGTTTTGTTTCTGGGCCTGAATCTAAATTAGCTATCTTCAGAGAGAGAGTACAACAGCTGACCCATATTCTAAGAGTCCTGCTGTTACCTAGAGGTCATGCAGCCCTTTTTGGAATGGGCAAGGGCACTGGCCGAAAGACACTTGTACGATTTGCTGTAAGCTTCTCTGGCTACCGGCTGTATGACGTAAATCCCAACAATGAGACAGAGGTCAGTGAAATCCTGAAGGAGGCCAGCGACCACGCTGGGGTCTTTGGTGGAAGAGTAGTAATTCTGGTGCACGAGGAGGTCAGTCAGTCTGTCCTAGATAAGCTCTTGGCTGTGATGGCAGAAGGCACTTTTCCAGGTCTCTACAACAAGGATGAACTGAGTGCTGCAGTGCAGAAAATAACAGCCTTGACGAAGAACACAAAGAACAGACTCGGAGAAGAACAGGTGCTAGAAAGGTAAGACCTAGAACGTAAAAGCATTTCGATGGTGTTTTATTTCTTTGTTTCTATGTGCACATTATATTTTAATCTAAACAATTAAAAATCCTTCGGTTTTTGCAATTAATCAAATCTTAAATGGGGTAAAGATATTACTTCACTATATGACCAGTGTGACTTTTTTAATTGGAAGGTGTTGTTAAGCTAAATTAAATAATTTGTCTAATATATTTATGTAGATATTATAAACATGTACAGAAGAACCTGCATGTTTTCATCATGTTGAGCCCTAAATGCCAAAAACATGCTGAACCCCTAAAAGAAAAGATGCTTTCGGAGATCTTCCTAAGCAGACTGCTAAAGCTGTGCAGTTGTGTGGAGATGTTCCAGCCCTTGTCAGCTGAAACTCTGTCAGAGGTGGCTGCCAGCCGTCTACAGGATGTTATTCTGCCACCTGAAGAGGAAGGCAAAGGTCAGTGTTAAGATAGTGGACAGTCCCAATTTATCTTGTTGATGTTCCTGTCTGGAATAAAGATGTACTATATACAATGCCTTGAAATGTTATTCACCCCTTGTACAGTTTTCACATCTTGTTTCTTTAATACATGCAATCATAACACTTTTAAGAAGCACTCATTATATGCAAACACACTCCAAACATTCAAAGCAAAAAAATTAAAGAAATAGATAATTAATATAATAGAAAAATGAAGAAGTGATTATTGCATAAGTATTCAAACCAATTGCTGTAGCAAAATTAGTGCACAAAATTATCTTAATAAGCCGCCTTTTGAGGTATTCTTGGTCTTCATCGTCAAATTTTAATACACACAATAAGCTGAGTGGTCTCCATATGGAATAATACTGTGTTAACATTTTCAGAATAAATACCCTATCTTTATAAGGTCCCTCAGTCAGATAGTGAATAGTGATTTTCAAGCCAAATTTGATGTTGAAGACCAAGAACCTTTCAAAACAACTTAGGGATAAAGTGATCCCATGATTAGCACACCCTATTGTACTGAACACCTGTCACTGAGCCTGTAAAGTTGTCTCCAGCCTGTCATTCCCCATGACGCCGATACAGAACTGGAAGCGTTCATTTTGATACAAAAAGAAGACCTACTGCAGATAATGTGTAGTGGGTTCTTCAACAGAAAGCAAGAAGAGGCTCACTCACTAGCTAGATTCTTTGGGATCCTAGTCTGTTGCACGGCTAATTTGAAAGTTATACTTCACCTTCATCTCTGCTCTGGGGTTTCATCCCAGATGTTGAGATCCTACTGTAATGCATCATATGTGATCCTATTTACAAACAGTAGTGGTTTCAGCAACTTTGGGTGGCAGGTCAGCTTACATTATTACCCTCATTACTTCTAGCCTGCCACATATACATTGTGTCACTGTCTTATTTGGTTAATAAATCTGTTTGACAAGTTTGATTGTTACCTGCCTGTACCACACAGGGACATTTTATTTAATCACTCTCTCCCTTATTTGTAACAGTGTTCAAAAGAGCAGTTCTCTTACTTCAATCTGTACTAGTCTACAGTATATTTCAATACATTGATTTTTACTATAAAAATACAGTGCATTTGATTAGTACACAATCATTACCTTGTCTGACTAAACATATTACCTTTCCTTTACCCTATATCTTAAAGAGCAAAATGCATCATTATTATAGCAGTTAAGAATTGATCCAACATTTTGTTTAATTTTTCCAGGTGAGGAAGCATGTTCATTGGAAGTTCTCACTAAATCTATGGCCACCATTCACCAGTCTGTCTTGAGATATGTTACTCACCAGGTACCAGGACTGCACCTCTTCAGTCTGCAGGTGTTTTTGGAGTTTACAGAGCACTTTCGTGATATATTCACACATCTGTGGCAGCAGGCCAGGGCCCAGGCCAACCGGTGAGTAGATATGAGTTTTTTACATGGTTTCAACACAATTGAACAACTCTCACCCCTGAACACACATGTAAAATGCTTGTTTTTTTTTGTAAAATGCTGTTTTTCTTGTAGAATGCTGGGATACCTCTCCCATCCATTTTCTCTCTTCATTTTTACATATCAGTACAAAACAGTACCTGGTGAATACACTGTGCAAATTGTCAACTTAAGAAATTATGAATTTGAAAATTGACACAATTGATATTTTAGCTGGTGTATTAACAGCAATCATTAAAATATTTGGTTGCCATTTGGGAATAAAAGTTGAAAGTATTAATTCTCTTAGAAGAAACCTGCATTGTTTACTTCTGCCAGTGTTGCAACAATCCTGAGAAGACTGAAGATTTTAACAAATACAGCGAAACAATCCAGCCAGGAAGTGCTTTTTGTTCGGAATGAGCTTAAGGTAGCACAGGAGGTAAGATTGTCTGGGATACATGTACTGTATATCCACACCTTTTCAGAATTTGCTATCTAAAGAGCACAGCCCCACTAAAAATATGCTTCGAAAGTGTTTCACTGGGGTGTTTTGTGACATAATGTGAAATAAAATCACTGTTTTTGGAAGTACAATAACTGTGAACTATAATGATTAAGTAGAGTGATTACAGACGTCCTGAACAACCCAATCTCTTTCCAGATTTTAAAGATTTTTTAAGAGCAACCTATTTTTAATAGGGTTACATTTTATTGCTTTACAGTTTGCAGTCATGAGTCACAATTAATGTTTCTTAGGAACAAGTAATAGGTTTATTCCATGCTGAAAAAAGAAAGAAAACACAAAGTTTCACCATGGAGCCTTCTCTTATATAATACTAATAATAATTGCTTACACTTATATAGTGCTTTTCTGGACATTCCGCTCAAAGCACTTTACAGGTAATGGGGATCCCCTCCACCACCACCAATGTGCAGCATCCACCTGGCAGAACTCTCACCACACATCAGTTATCAGTGGGGAGGATAGCAGAGAGTAATGAAGCCAATTCATAGAGGGGGATTATTAGGAGGCCATGATTGGTAAGGGCCAATGGCAAATGCTGGGGTTACACCCCTACTCTTTTTGAGAAACGCCCTGGGATTTTTAATGACACAGAGAGTCAGGACCTTGGTTTTATGTCTCATCCGAAGGACGGCGCCTGTTTACAGTATAGTGTCCCCATCACTTTACTGGGGCTTTAGGACCCACATGGACTGCAGGGTGGCCCCACTAACACCTCTTCCAGCAGCAACCTTAGTTTTTCCCAGGGGCTCTCTCATCCAGGTACTGACCAGGCTCACACCTACTTAGCTTCAGTGGGCTGCCAGTTATGAGTTGCAGAGTGATATGCCTGCTGGCTATATACACAACCTGCCCCACACATTTAAAGCAAAAAACACAAAGAAATAAGTAAATAGACCATTAATAAAGAAAAATTGGAAATGTTTTTATTGCATAACAATGCAATGCAATCAGATTGAAACAATTTCTGTCTTAAGCCTAAATTCATTGAAGTATACAAAATTAACTTAACGAGCCACACAATTAGTTCAATTTGCTATATGCTATATGCAAAAATAGCAGTTCACTTAATTACAGAATTAATATACTTTCTGTAAGGTACACTTACTGTAGTTGGGTAGTAAGTTTAAAGCAAAGATTTAAATATGATGTACAGAAAGCCTTCAGGCTATGTAGAGATAAAATGGTATAAAGGAGAAGGGTAAAGGTGTCTTTGAGCATTTGAAATTGAGCATTAAGAAGCGGAATACACCCAGACATTGGCAAGATCAGGGTTTTCCTCCAAACTGAACAGATGAGCAAGGAAGAAAATGTTAAGGATTGCCAACTGCTATGCTACAACAGCAACTTTGAAAGTGTTTCAGATAACAATGGCTGAGATGGAAGAAAATGTCTATGTGTTAACAATATTCTGGTCACTGTCTAAAGGATGCTTGTATAGAACTGAAAAAAAAATCTCAAATTCCACATGGGGTTTGCAACAAAGCAACTCAGTGATACTGCAAGCTTGTGGCAAAATGTACGTGATCAAAGAAGAAAAAATATTTTTATTCAAATACTTATGCAATAAATATATTTAACTTTCTTTTTCTTTAGTTTGTTCTGATATCTTCTGTAACTTACACCTGTACAAGTCTTCGGTTAACATTCAGATTTTGAATAAAATATTAAATTAAAAAAGATGTATGCACCATTTATATTACATTTGATAAGACTCAAGTTAAAAATGAATATCCAAAAGATTCAAGATGGCTTAGCAGCCTCTTCTCATAGTATTTTTTTACACATCTAGCTTCAGCAGCAGCTCCAGCGTGAGGTGGATGCTCAGAGGATCCTGTGTGAGCAAACCAGGCAGCGCTGTCTGCAAGAGGAGAACATTCTCTCTGATCTCTCAGAGCAGCTGCAGCAGGCCCAGCATGAGTCCCAGGAAGCTTTCCAGCAGGTCTGAAAGTTTCCCACTCTCCTAACACAGCTACACGGACTATACAGACATTTACCTGTGAGAGAATAGAGCACAGTGTCGACTGTTAGGAAAATATTCTTATAATCCTCCTGCTCATACCAATCAAAGTGAAACAGAAGACAGTGTCTCTAATAATCGCCATTCACAGTTTGTTCTGTGGTGATGCTCCAAATTCAACCTATGATCCCTTTTCCCCAGAACCTGGAGTTTCATGACAATTTTGGTATTTAGGCAGTCCTTATCCTTAACTTCCCAGATCTAAAAAAAATACATGTGCTTTTTATATGAAACATGGATTAGTCATCTGTGCCTACTTTTTTGTGATTAACATAAAAACAATGAAACCAGTCTTTTGGAGGAGCCTAGTGTTCTCCTGTATTACAATAAGATTTTCAGAGCCTCCACTGCTTTAAAACAATGGCAACAATCAAATACAAAACATTGCATTTTTAAAGCTCAATCCAAACTCTGCCACTTGGCGAGGTTGCTCTGTGGCTAAGGATCTGTGCCTGTTGCTGAAAGGTTGCTGGTTCATATCCTGCGGCTGGTAGAGGAATCCTACTCTGTTGGGCCCCTGAGCAAGGCCCTTACCCCGAATAGTATAAATGGCTGACCCTGTGCTCTGACCCTCAGCTTTTCTCCCTGTCTGTGTGTCTCATGGAGAGCAAGTTGGGAAATGCAAAAAGACAAATTCATAATGCAAAAAAATTATATATGGCCAATAAAGTGATCTTATCTTAATCTTAAAAATCATATTTGTGTTGTTAAAATTTCAGTCTGCATAAACAAATTTGACCCCACATTTAAAAGTCCCATTACTAAGATATCATGCAAAGGAACAGGTAATAGGTTTATTCCATGCTGAAAAAAAGAAGAAAGAAAACACAACGTTTCGGCCATGGAGACCTTTTCAGGTGTGAGTCTGAAGAAGGCTCCATGGCCGAAACGTTGCGTTTTCTTTCTTCTTTTTTTCAGCATGGAATAAACTTATTACCTGTTCCTTTGCAGCCTAAGCATGCTGAAGCAGCTACACACCTGAACTAAGATATCATGATGAGCAGTAATGATGCCTCCGACTTGTGGTCTTCATCTGGACCCTGATCCAGAACCTGCTTCAAAAAATGAATAAGAAGGACTTTCAAGTGCTTCATCAACTATAGCATTTGTGTAAAGTAGTGGTTAGGGCTTTGCCTTTTGTACCACTCTTTATTTGGTTTAAAATCCCAGGGTTATAATACCACATATTAGAAGCTCTCTCTGTAAGGATGTATAGGACTACATGATTTATTTCAAAATGACAAATCTGTTGAACTCTCATAGAAGAACACGTAAACAAATCTTGGCAGGTGCAAACTAATAAGACCACTTATGATTAAAAAAATAATTTAATTAAAAAATTAATTAATTAAAAAATAATACTTCTTCTTTGAATTTCATATAAAGATATTATTCAAGTCAGAGCTTATGAGCAGTTAGTGGAAACTTTGATCCTGCTTTTTCCATTGAGCCCATTCCTGGTCCCCAGGTCAGTTCCCTCTACCAGGCTGCACTGGATGCTCTACATTCCCTGACAGTGGCTGATATTGAGGAAATCAGATGTTATCGAGTGCCACCAGATGGAGTTGTTATGGTGATGAATGCAGTATGTTTGATGTTTGGAAGGCCAAGAAACTGGGAAAGCAGCAAGCAACTCATTGGACAGACCAGCTTCTTTCAGGTAAGAGGTGACCTAAGGGATTCCTGAGAGAAAAGAACATGTTTGATCTTAATATGACAGAGCAGGAACCACATTTCAGAGATTTCACATTTCAATTCTAATCGTTAGAAATAATACACATATAATTTAGGAAAACTGATTTTTCGGATCTGCTTCTCTAAATTTATCATGTATCTTCGTCGGCATCTTCAAAATCCTGCATATAAAAACATTTATTCCTGGTAAGAGTTACAACTTAACAAGATGAATGTCTATCTCAATAAGCTTTAACGGCAATATAAACCCACTTGGACAATAATTGGCAGCTTGGATTGTTACAGCAAGGCAGGACTACACCCTGACCAGTCAATCTAAGGAGAAACACAGAGAAGCACACAGGGACATTTTAAAGGCACCAGTTTTAAAGATTAGAAGACACTTCACCAGTTCCTGTTATTTATATTTGTAAAACAATCTAAAGTTTCTTATTAAAGTAAACTAAGGTTGAGAGAGAAAAGATGACAGGACTAAGATGTTAAATGTGTGTGTATATAAATAAAATAGCTTTGTTCTCTTTTCCCAAGGTCACATTTTCATCAAGAATATAGAACAGTGCATAAGATGGAATCATGTTAACAGCAAGCATGCAAAATAAATTTCTGTGTCTCTTAAATAGGTCATAAGTTGTTGTTTTTTGTCCTCTACCAGGGCAGATTGTTTTCTGGTGATGTTCCATATTCAGCCTGTGATCCCTTTTCCCCAGGACCTGGAGTTTTATGACAAGTCTGGCATCACAGACTCCCTGTTTACAGCACTGGGCAGGATTGTTGTGCAGCCCGAGTTCCAGCCCGCAGTGGTTCGGGAGGCAAGTCGGGCCTGTGAATCCCTCTGTCTGTGGTTGCATTCCATTTACCAATATGCCTCAGTACAACGACACTTGGCTCCGCAGCACAACCGGGTGCATCAGGTGGAGGAGCATATGGTGAAGTCCCGCATCAGGCTAGGCCAGGAGAGAGTGCAGGAGGAGGCAGCTAGGGAGTGTCTGGAGGAGTTGGAGAAGCAGTACCAGGGGGCGTCTCAGCATGTGGGGGAGCTTACCCTGCAGCTACGCCATGCAGATGCCAGGGAAAGGGAGGCACACAGTGCTGCCCAGCTGATGCACAGCCACATAACAAACTGGACTGCTGCTGCCAAGGTAAGTTCTGCCACCTTGACTGTTCTCTTTGCAGTAAAGCGCACTATAGACTCACTATTTAGCTCAGATACTGTATACTGTAGTTAACTGGAAAAATAAGTATTATATCCTGCAGTATGTTTAATAATTGACCTCTGTCCTATTATTCATGTATGTGAAAGGCAGCTCAACACCTTTACATACAGTATGTCCTAATATCAGAATATTTGTACCACAATATTTCCTGGTTTAACAGAAGTGAACATGTTTTGCATTGTTACCTAGTTATATGCATTTATTTGGGTGGATAAAAACAAGTTCTTCATTCATGAATTTCTGACTTCCCTTGGACATTCACATAGGTGAAGTGCTTTTGCAAACTTTCCATGAAAAAGAAACAATTTTAGTATACATGAATTTGATGCTCATAATGTTTGGAGCCCATTGTTCTTCCACAGAAAGCAACTGAGGATAATCACAATGCTGTAGGAGATGCCCTGGTCCTGGCTGCTGCTGCATCCTATCTTGGCCCCTTTAATCCAGACGTCAGGCTAGAGATGTTGGAAAAGTGGCAAGAGCTGTGCCACACAGGAGAGATGCAACTGAATCCTAGGGATCAAAGGCACGAAGTCCTACCCACCACAGTGCCCCCTGTTCCTAGGAACATTGTTCTCATCCCAGTGAGCAAGGAGCTGCCCTTGTCCAAGGCTCTAGGAGGCTGTGTTAGTGCATCTGAAACTTTCTCCCACAGACCAGTCTTGCAGCTAGTAATCAGAAGATCTAGGTGCCCATTTGTCCAGCGGTGGCCACTGCTGGTGGGATCAGCACAACAGGCCAAATCCTGTGCAGAGGCCATCCTAGAGGAGCACTTGTCACATCTGGACTTAGGTAGTGCACAGGAGCACATTCTCCTTTAACTATTCAATTCTGCTTTAGCCAAGACTTAGTGTATTTTGGGCAATGCCCATACAGTATATTCCTTCATGCTTAGGAAGTTAAGTCAAAGTAAAAGCATAAGAAGTTGTGTAAAGCTCAAAGCATGGCACATCCATGGACTTTGTATAATAGTCTAAGAATGTGCCTTGCTTTAGGGGTCATGTAATTGAAATTATTTCCTTACGCATTAAGACTCCATTAAATGAGATTACACACAACCATGAGCAATTCAAATCACATATACAAAACAATCATTAAAAGCTCAGTAGCATCTAGCTTTTCTTACTATAGCATGAGTCTACATTATTCATAAATCATTTTTTAAATAGGTGGTGATAAAGACCAGAAAGTAAAAGGGGCCATTTTAACTGAATTAACAATTAAATGATTTTATCCTTCCTTCTATACAAAGAAAAAGACATTATTGAAATTAGGATTTTGGTCATAGCAAAAGCTACATTTAAGAAAGCCTCTGAAGAAATCAAAATCAATTATGTTTAGCCTTCATAAGATTATTTCTTCAGTTTTTTCTTAATAAATACTAACCCACCTAAATGTGTTTAAAATATATCTTAACAACTGATCATTATTTATTCTTTATATATCTTCTTGAAATGTGAATCATGCTTAGACGCATTGTGCTCAGTTACAGTATACGGAGTGTTTTAGAATTTTGCTGTTTGCTGAAGATGAAAATCTTTATCTACCAGAGAGCTCCTCACAGCCTGACACCTGGATGGTCCTGTGTGCTGATGACCCTACTCTGGTGGAGAAGATACAGAAGGGAGCTGAGAGGGGTGAGGGTGAAAAGACCAGGGGTGACCACAGTCTGACAGAGGGCTTCAGTCATTCCCCAGTCCCAGCAGAATGCTCAGAAAACATTCTGATATATGGGGACAGCAGCCAAAGAAGTTGCTGATTAAGAGAAAAACCTGCCATTTATTCACTGACAGTTTTGTCCAATCATAGAGTTATATTCAATATTTTAAGAAGAAATTTAACATTGCCTTTGTGGTTATAAAACTTGGTCTAGGTGATTTTTATCTTTATGTCACAAGTTTGTTGAAAAGATGAATCACCTGTGAACAGGACACAAATGGTACGTTTAGATGTTGGAAATGCCATGGACTGTGTAGCATCATTTTGAGAGTTTTCTATTATAAGAAATACTATGCATGTACAGTATATAAATATAAAGAGTACAGAACAGCAGTTGATGTTCTGCGTGCATCTCCTCTGCAGGTCTAGTGGTTCTGGTGACTGACGTGGAGAGAGTAGTGCTTTCTCCAAAACTCCTGGACTTCCTGCAGAGAAAGCCAGAGAAATGGGCGTCAGGGCTCAGAACAGACTCTATGGCAGCCCATCATCACTTTACATTGTTCCTCAGCACTCATCTGCCAGTCAGGGCCCTGGCACAAGGTGAGAAAAGCACTGAAATCTTTAGGGGATGTACAGTATAAACATCCCCTCATGGCTCATGAGGGGATGGAAAATATCTCATTTTCTAGAGCCAACAAAAGACATGTTTTTTTATCCCCAAGGGAAAAAATTGTGAACAGTTAGGAAATATCCTGGGTTTATTAAATCTTAAGTTGAGAAAAGAAGAGACTTATTTTCTGAATGTTATTTCTGAAAGCAGAGAAAATGTCATTTTTCCCAAGGTGGAAATATTAACCAGAACTTATAGTAGTTTATTCACATTTAACAGTGTGTAATATAAAAGTGGTTTACTTTGGACACAAGATGTCATGATGGTTAATGTGCATGCTTTAACCCAGAAGAAAAACTGCTGAAAACAGGAAAATAAGTCCTTTGAGGAAATTTGAATTGTAAGGAAATTATCTACATTTTCATTTAAATTAATTTTCATTGATCTACATTTTTCATTTTCATTTTTTTTTTCAAAGTATGTGTGCTGTACACACTGCCCTGTGGAAGAGAAGTAATAACAGTATGTCTGCCACTAGAGGCTGGCTGGAAGACAGACTCAAAAATGTCTGTAACTGGTACTTGCTGTTGATTGTTCATAAAGTTAACTGAATAGAATTCCCACACAAATGTATGTGCATTTAAGTGTACCTGTGTATAGCATAGAGTCAGTAAGATTTTTTTATGATTTTCATGGAAATTGAGGATTCAGTTTTTTTATGCTATGGGGGACTGCTGGTTAGGAATGTTTATTCTGTTATTTTAATTAAACTCTAATGAATCCGGGACCCTCCTGTACCCCTTGAATTACATTGGGGTTGGAATTTTCATGTGAAAAGGTTGCTGGGCCATTTAGTCTGAGCAAACAATACTATCCCTGGCATGTTCACTTAGCTTAATGGGGCTACCGGTTCAGATGACTCTTGACTAGGATGCTTCTACTATAATACAGAATAACTTTTTAATATTGCCTTTTATTTATTTTTGTTGTACCAGTAAATACTGCAGCATAAGCCCGAAACTATATCTTGTCTCCTCATACCCTAATGCGAAATTCTCATAATTGAATTTGAATCCCTAATCATTGAGTAGATCGTACTATCTTTGAAGATCTAGGAAAACATTTTTATTGTCCTTTCAACACTTTTTTATTTGCTCTTTTAGTTATATTTTCAGACATATGTTTATATAAAAATTATTAAATGTTTGATACCAGCAGAGATCCACAGTCTGCAGGTAAACATCCCTATAGCCACAACTGCTTACATCCTCCTAGCATTCTTGTATAGTGCATTGCTTTCTGTAGCATTGGCGTAGCATGTGGTGTTTCATAAGGTGGGTTATTTTTTCTTGTATCCCTTTAATGTTTGGAGATAAGGATTAGGAAATGCTGAGATTGTAAAAGCCACCTTCCCCTTTTAATTGAAATGGTTCAGGCCATCAGATCCAGGGAGGCGTATTGACCTGATAATGTGGGCATCACACTACGTGACTTTTTCTAGGATTTTCAGTCGTAGCCTTCATTTACATTTCATTACATTCATTTAAGAAAATCAGAGCGAGTTGTAGAGAGTCGCAGCGCACACCCATTACCGTCAGTTGTTTAGTGTGACACCCCTAGCGACTAAATTTGTTCTCTATTTATAAAGAAGAATTATATTTTTGAAGGTGTTTATTTGTGGAAAACAATGTCTGTTTTACATTTTCAAGATGTTTACATACTTGTTTTCCATGTTTAGTTGTTTACTTTCGAGCGGTGCTCCTCTTTCCGGTGTGCTCCACATTGATTGGCTGCCAAAATGAGGCGACCTCACTGTACTTTCACAGCACAATACAAGATTTGGAACCATGAGAAAAGCCGTGAAGGAATTGTGTAATTAGTCACCCCCTTAGATTCCTAGTATAATTTGACACCCTCTAAGACAGAAAAGGCAGCAAGATTCAGCAACTGCAGTTTTTAAATTAGTTCTCCGACTAGAAGTCGTGTATGTGTATTGGAAAGACATTCCCTACTGTAAAAATGATTGTAGGACATTTTTTCTGCAAATCCCCCAGAATCCTAGAATTTTAGCCTGTTGTAAAGGGATTTGTCATGCCCAGACCAGGCCCAACTCGCGAACTGCTGTTGCCCAACAATAACATTCCAACAAGCTCAACCTGCCACTCAAACTAGATCGGGTTGCCTTTGAATTAAGACAACACTTTTTCAATAAGGATTCCGATGCAGTTCTCAATCATGCTAATTTGACACTTAATCGCTTTATTTAGTCACTTAGAACCACAGTATCGTTGTTCTGTCAGTTTAACCTCAACCTCTGTGCGAGCGGTCGCTGCTTTTACAAGAAAAAAGCTTCTCCTCCTAGGTCTTTTTTTCTCTTTTCCCTTTTCCTTGAATATTTTTCATCACCCTTTTTGTTTTTTTAACTTCTTTTTGTACTATTTTTACAACGTCATCTCGCCGGCTTCTTCCTTTTTAGTTTACGGCTTGAAGCTCCGCTTTTTTAAAAGAGACTGATAAAAGAATGCTTTATATTTATGTAATTCATGCAGGCTAACATCTTTCAGGTCAGTCCCTTTCTAGACTGTAGAAAACGTGCCTTGTTATCATTGCCTAACATGATATTAAAAGTTCTATGGTGACCATTAACATTTAAAACAGGGCCCTCCTTTAAATATAATATTTATGATTTCCTTCGCATTTATCCAGCATAATTTATATAATAAGATAAGATAACAGTACAATTAAGATATAATAGAGATTAGCAGAATGGTAACTAAATAGAATATAATATAGAATTGGTAGTCTGAACCAAGAAGTCAATAGAATGAAAAGAATTACTAGATCAATGAATTAAACTGCTTCATGTGACCTATTTCAGTGCCAATCAAAGTGAAGTGTTATCAGGTTGTTGAAGACTTCACTACATAATTAAAGAGCTTTAGCACAATTCTGATCTTACTTTTTACCTTTAGTGATGTTCATTACTTTATCAAATAATGGACATCTGTGATTCTGATTTTTAATCAAGTCTTCAAGGCAAGATTCAAAGTATTTATATATCTTACTCTGTTCAGCTCTGTTATTACCTTTATACAGTGGTTTCATACTGTACCCTGGTTTCATGAACTTGTTTGTATTAGAGAAAGAGGGTATTTGATTTTGAGTTACCATGATAAATGTATCTACTGATGAAATGTTTAAAAAAGCTTTTATTTTTTTATAAATTTAGATAGAACATGACAAATGTACAATTTATTTGCATAACTGATATAACTAAATACAAAAATGCATACAAACAGACATTAGTATTGGAAATGAACTTTAGCTTTCAGAGAATCTGGACTGACAATAAGTACAAATATTTTTAAAGCACTAGTAATAAAACACAACTCTAAATTATTTAATTATATTTGTTATGTTTAAAATGAGATTATACCAAAATTGTACTTTCTTGTAGTATTCTGTCCCTGAGTGTTTTTTCACTGTTTCTCCTTCTCTGTTTCTTCAGAATTAGATTCTAATATCTTAAAGGTGGTGAATGTAATTGACATTAGTTTGAGCCAATCAGAACTGGAGGAGCTCCTCCTTAAAGAGCTTGTGCTGTCAGAGTGTCCAGAAGTCTGGGGCCAGAGGAGGACAGTACAAATGGAGAAACTGCAGATTGTGAATAGAATGCAGGAGGTGGAGGTATGAAATGAAATGAAAAGCTGGGATTGGGCAGTAAGGTGACAAAAATAAATGATTGAAATGACACACTTTATTTTCACAGATATGGATATATGCATTGAGTCAGGTAATAAGTACAGTAAGTTGAAGAGGGTCTGTAAATGTACTACTATTTTCAAATTGGATTTTGAGTGTTTCAAGAATTACAAATGACTCATTAAAAATACTCAAAACATAACAGGGTAAACCCAGTATCTTGTAGTTGCTAGTTCCAATTACAGTTATACCACTGCTGCCTGTGGTCAGTAGCTTTATGTATAAAGGAAATAGTGTTTTTTTCTGGATGACACACAAATAGAATTAGAATGCCACAAAAATCTGTATTAGTACAGCACTACTTCCTAATGTATGTCAATGATCCAGATTCTGACAATTAACTGATCAAGTTCATAGACAATACCAAACAAAGATCATTAGTATGGCACCGCAAAACCAGCAAAACCAAAAATAGAAACAAAATTCAAGGCTGGGATGGTTTTCTCTGTATATTTATAGCAGAGAAGTTGAATACGATATGGCAGTTTAAATATGAGTATATAAAGGAGAAATTTCAAATCTATTACAATTATTAGTTTTATCTGGAGAGGAAAACCAACTTGGAAGATTTCAATTTTCTAACTTTCATACAGTGGATTTCCCTTCAGTTCATATGATATTTAATTTAGTCTGATTTCTGTCTCTCCTCAGGATTCTTTAGTGGAGTACATCCTCCAGTCTCTCACACCTCTCCTGGAAGACCCTTGTTTCCTCTCCCATGTGTCTGAATGTCAGAAAACTATGTCCGTCCTGCATCAAGACTTAAAGGAGGTGTCTGTAGAGTTGCAGCACCATTGTGTACTACTGAAGGACTTTGATGGAGTCGTTAAACTTGGAAGTGCTCTGTATCAAGCCCTGCAGGAAGTCTCACGGCTCTCTCCCCTTTACTTTTTTCCTCTCCAGCCTTTTCTACAGCTGTTCAAAGTGGCATTGGGCCACAATGGGAGGACAGAGGGGGCAAATGGGGGAGAGTTCACAAGCGCCACTATGGCAGAGATTACACACAGGATAGTGTCTGATGTCCTGTCCCACTATCGGCCATGTCTGTTCCAGAGTCATGCCAGATTCTTCCAGTTGTTAGTTTCTGTAGCTCTGATCAGGCACAATGATGAATGCACATCCCTGGAGCAGCAAATCTTCTTAAAAGGCCTGAAAGATGTGGTCAGTTCTCTAGATCTACATAGCACCAGCACACATCTCGTCAAATGGGTAGATGAGCACACCATGAGGGAAATATGTTATTTGGAAAATCTAACTGCTTTTAAGGGCTTGAGCTCTTCCCTACTTCACCTGTCTGAGCAATGGCAAGAGTACTTCAAGTTTCCCTCATCCACTGTGATTGGACCTGTCCCCTGCTCCTCTTATGCTCAACTTTCTACTCTTCAGAAGGCAGTACTATGGAAGACATTGCATCCTGAGTGGCTTTTTGCTGTTGCTGAGGACCTGGCTTACACCCAGTTGGGCCAAACCCTGGCATCTGTAGATTATGCAACTACAGAGATCTCTTCACAGCTCTTGAACCTGCCGGCAATTCCAGTTATTTTTCTCTTGCCACAAAAAGGAGATCTGGGTCCTTCAACACATCCACTGTACTGGATAGAGCAGGCTGTGAAGACACAGGCAAATCAGGTAACCAAATTGAGTCTGAAGTAATGAAAACATCAGGGACTAAACGGTCCAGCTTTATCATTTACTTTTAGAAAGCCATTGATAACCTCAGGTTCACAACAAAAAAAACTGACTAAGATCCAGACAGCTGTCCGCTAAACTGATTAAGGATTGCATAGTTAAAGGAATATTGTGTAAATATTTGGGAACTTCATGAGATGTATTTTATATAGTACCATAAAAAAGTATTCAGACTCTTGCATACATTTCAAATTTTGTTGCTTTAAAACTTGCAGTCAGGACATTTTGAAGTAGGAATTTATATTTGTTATATACATAACCTACTCCATAAATTGAAAAAAAACAAAAAGAAAGAATTAATAAGAAGGAGAATGGAAAGGTGTATTGGATATGTATTCAAACCATTTGCTTTGGAAAACCTAAACAAATATAGGTGGATATAATTACCTTATAGGTGTATATAATTACCTTAATCAGCTGCACAATTGCATAGCCTCTGATTGTGCAGTTATAGTTCTTCACATGATTCTGTCTTTAACATATAGTACATTTGTATGTTAAGTCTTAATTCAAACTTAAGTCAAAGACCTGATAATGAAGACTAAGGCACTTTTAAATTGTCAGGAATACAATAATTGAAAACCCACAGATCAGGAGAAGGGTACAAAACATATATATCTCTGTGACTATCCCCTAAGAGTACAGTCTACACAATCATCAAGCAATAGATGGTTCATAATACCACATAGACACTGCCTCTGTAGGAAATTTATGAGGCAAAACTGTGAGGTTTAAAAGCTATTTTATAATATTCTAATAATTTAATTGCAGGATCACGTTTTTTTAAGTACTGTTCCTAATGTGCTTAAAAAACGTCTGGTTATTGTTACTATTCAGACTCTGAACCTTAATTCTTCCTCTTTTCATTGATAATGGTGCCTTTCTCTGTTGTCAACATGTGTCTCCATGTTAACAGAACAGTAACTCCCCTCTTTACATGTTAATGTTCTAAACAATTGGAAACGTACTACATACAACAACTAACACTAGGGTTTGAGTTAGAGGTGTGGTTCAGGTTATGGTTTGGGTTGGACTACATGCAGTTACTCTACATGTTGATTATTACCACATTTATAGCACTCTGTTAGTATTTTATAAATATATTTCATTTCTAAATCATTTCTATTTGCAACCACTATAGTTAATACAATGTACTGTATAATTATAATGAAAATTTATAATGAAATTATAATAAAGTTATCATTTATAATGAAATGTTTAATCAGCCACAGATTTAGCACAAAATACATATATAAAATATAGAATTAAGCTTTTCTCACTTTTAGGTGAGGATCCATGTAATTTCTTTTGGCTCCCATTGCCAAAGAGAATCTACTCTGCATACCCTAGACACCTGCACCAGGGGAGGTCATTGGCTGGTCTTCAACAACTGTCACCTACTGGACCAATGGGACAGTGAGTTAGTCTCCCAGCTCTCCAAGTTGTTTTCCCAGACAGCCAGAGGTAAGAGCAATATGCTATGGCAATAGCACAGTATAGATTCAAAACCAGTAAAAATTATCCAGCTTTGCAGATTCATTGTGATGTATGAAGCAGGAACGGTGTAATGTTGCCACAGAGAATTTTTAAAAATTCAAGAGCAGTTTATAATGAAATTTAAAAATATATATTTATTACAGTATTTAAACCTTTGCTTTTATCGGTGCAATAAAAATTATCACTATCACACACACAAAATTGCCGTTCATTTCAGTCTAGCCATTAAAGATTTTTTTAATCAACCGCTGAGTATGGCTGATATATTTATTAAGTTTAAACTGCTTTAACATTATTTATTTTTATTAAGGTGTCTTCCATGCCTTTCTGTGAATCTAATGCACATTTTTAGTGATATAGGTTACTCCAGTGCCACTTCAAAATGTATTAATTTACAACAGTCATATTTACACTATGCTTAAAAGCTAGCAGTGAAGCTTATTTTTGTATAACACTTTAAAGTTAGAAAAAAATGATGATAGGAGATAAAGTTTAATAAAACAATAAAAAACAAGGGTGCTAGAAGATGTAAAGGGACACAGACATCAATTTTACCTAAAAGCCTCTGAAAAAGAAGGTTTTTAGTCTGGATTTGAAAGTACTCCAGGATGGTGACTCTCTGATATCCTTAGGGATAGAATGCCAGAGCTTTTGAACATAGCAAGTGAAGGACCGATTACCCATAGTATACAGTTAAGCTTGGGGGACAAAAAGAAAACCAGAGTAATACAATTATGTTTTTGCAAGGACAGGAGCAGAAAGATAAATAAGACTTGTACTGAGGTCCTAAGCTATGTAGAGCCTTATAGGTGAGCATGAGGATTTTGAAGTCAACAGAAAACTTGCCAGGAAGCAAGTGTAAGGATTCCAGAACTGGAGTAATGTGATCATGTGGACACAACTTGATCAGTATTCTGGCTGGCAAAACTTGTTCAGTGTGGATTAAGAAACACCAGCAAGCAGAGCAATAATCAATTTCAGAGAAGACGAATGTTTTGACCAGCTACAGTCCAAGACAATATAAGATATGATAGTCTGATGACTATTTCAAATGTATGGTTTGAGCAGTCAATCATCCTTCCATGAGAAAGTCACAAACAGTACCAGTATGTCTGTAAAAGGTCACAGCGGTCCCCAGCCTATCCAACCATCCAAAGTATGTGTCTTTGGATTGTTGGATGATACTAGACCAAAATCTCCAGACTTATTTTCAATTTTTTCTTTATTAAGTTCGGCAGCACACTGGTCCAGTGGTTAGCTTTAGAAAGCAGCTAGAACTATGGCACTGGAGCTCTGGGTTCCATTCCTGGGCTGCTACCTGCCTGGAATTTATATGTCTGCTATGTGTCTGTGTGGTTTCTGCTGGGTGCTCCTGTTTCCTCCCTCAGTTCAAAGACAAATTGGCAGATTAATTGGCTTCTGGCATAATTGTCCGTGGTGTAACGTGTCTGTGTGCCCTTTGATGGACTGGCATCCCCACCAGGGTACCCCGCTTTGTGCCATTGCTTGTTGGGGAAGTTTCCTACTGCCCGGGACCCTGTATTGCACAATGTGTTTAGAAAATGGATGGATAGTGCTGAATTGAAAAGCTGGTTAATAAACTACGAGCTACTGACACCAGCTGTTCATCATTTAACATTGTAAAATATTACCACCAGAACAAGCCCACTAGAGAGTGTAAGGGACAACAAGGAACTGTTTTTTTTTTTCTAACTTTTGGTAGGGGTGGAAGATGCAAATTTAAAACACCTTCAAGTAAATTTAATTATTTAAATTAAAACTTTAAATTCTTAAAGTAGAGAAACATTATTAGTATACAAAGTGGAATAATATTTTACAGCTACTGTGATACTTACAGAAGCTTGTTAGTACCATGGAGAAAAACAATTGTGATTAAATGAAATAATATTGCATTTAAACAGGAAATGTTTGGTGTTTATACCAGACAGTATTGTGTTAACATGACATACTTTTGCGTTTATAAAAGGGTGAAAATTAATTTGTGAACAATACTGTGATTGTTGGTCAGTTGTTGGATCTTTAAACAGAAAACCCTCAAAAGCTTTTAGACTATACACAGCAAAATGCAGGAAGAAGAAACAGTATTTCTGTGTCCATTTGCAGACCTGCATGTAAAGAGAATTTGGGGAATGCCAAACAAAAAGAGTAAGATTTCCACGACAGCACACAACCAGTTATACATTTTATACATTGACAGCTTGCTGTTTACTGTAAGCAACGATAACAGTAAACAGTAAGCCAATATTAGGTACTGTACAGTATGTCTTACTTTTAAATCATCGCAAATGTACTCCATTCAATGCTAGGCAAAAACCTATGTACGGTACATTTCTGCATTTTCACATCAAGGATAACATACATTTGGAAATGGTGAACATCACAGGACGTTCTACTTCATGTTTACAAAAGATGTACAGTAATTACATGTACAGTACATGTAATTAAACTTATTTAATTAATGCATGTGATCAATTAAGGCCTGTTATCAATATTCATCTGTTGTTAAAGTCAATGTTTTCATTTGACAATAATATTTAATATATCTGCAAGGTATTAATATAGTATGAAATATTGTTAATGAATTGTCACCTTTTAAACCAATGTTATCCTGTTTTAATGCAATACTGTCTTGATAAATACAAAAAATATTTTTTCTCTATGGCGCTTATAAGCTTCTGTAGATACTAAAACATAAAAATATGTTAATCTTGAAAATAAGCTAATGAAACCTTACCTTTCCATTATTTAAAATATGATAAATAAGCATGAAAATTAATGAATGGCAAATTAATGTAATTAATACTGCAAAGTTAAAATCATAATGAGATGGTGTATCCTGCTAAACCTTTAAAATGGAACAAAAGTTTCTGAAGATTGTTTTTTACATTAAATTTCTATTTAAAAGCTTTTATGATAAACCATGTCTAAAACCATTACTGAATGGTAAAATGCATAGTGCTTAGTTCAATTCATCACTTACTTAAATACACTCTTTATTTGGGGCTTTGTTAATGAGTGTGGACCATTCATTAATTTTTCATTATCATTCATATGTTCATTATGCTGACAGAAACAGTGTCATAATATGCACAAGTTTCAAACTGATAATGCAAAAAATACACAAAAGAAGAAAAAAAAATTATCAGTGGTCCACACTCATTTACAATGCCAAGGCTCCCAATTCAAGAAACCTCCCTCTCTGGAGTGTATTTAAGTAAGGGATTTTGCTGATTCCTCTGTTACAGATCTATTTGTGAGAAATGTTCTAGTGATAACGGATTTGCACTATGTTTCTGGAGCTAACCTCTCAAAACTTGTTTTTGCATTTCACCATATCATGTATTTTTGTTAAAACACAATAAAGATATCTAGATTATAATAAACAATATGTGATATATATGGTTATATTGCCTTATCCGTCTTTACATTTTAACATAAGGTGATATTTTTTAATAGTTCATATCAACTTGTAATGTTGATGAAATTTGAAAAATAAGATTTAGATCAGCTCTTTTTGCATTGCTTAAAACCTTGCTTAGACACAATACAGTAGATGTTTCAGATGCAGTTAAGACTGACTAGCTTTACCTTTTATTTTTACTCAGGTAAGCCTGTGGACCCCTGGAAGGAAGACGCAGATGATGCAGCCCCTGCAGCCCCTCTAGCGTGTGGAGAGAGACCTATCCACCCGCAGTTCAGACTGTGGTTCATCACACGGAGCGATGCTCCACAGTCTATCCCAGGTGTGCAGGAGCAACATGTTACAGATCTGAATTGTATCAAAACTACTGTACAGTATATCTAAAAGACAACCACTCAAGTATCCTTAAGAAAAACTTTACAGACTTTCTCCTAAGTACTGTAAAGAAACTAAGCTTACTTTCTCATTTCATCACTTGGTCCCTCTTTTTAGCTCCTTTTTTAGCTCATTCATTTAAAGCAAAAGTATAATGTATATATTCTTCAATGATTCATTTTACTGAAAAAATCTAAAGACCTCCCAATCTATGCAGTCCTTATTAAAATTGAACTTTTAATTTCTTAAAATGTTTAACTTTGTTTGAAGCCATTCCTAAACCAGGTATAAAATTAAATCACTTTTATTTTTTAATTTACACATCTTGTAATTATAATCATTAACCATAACAGGTGATATACTTTTATTACCAAGTAACATATGCTCAGCAAAATAATTTGACAAATCTAACTATATGTTTGCATTAATGGGGAGTGTTCTGGTACAAGATACCTAACCCTAACAATAATCTACAGTATTTGAAAAATTAGCTAGTTACAGGTTATTGATAAGGGGAAACATAGGTTAAGGCATTTTGAATCAACGATACTTACAGTTAAAGACAGCTATCATTTATTATGACTTGTTTCTTACTGACTCAGTGGTAACTTCAAATACCAGGTCTGTCTTTGCATGTGGACAAGTTGAAAAAGTGTGTATAGTTCTAGAAGAAGTATCTTTCATATTTCCAATATCTCACTAGCTCAATAATCTTTACAAACTGTAAACATTCTTAAATTAAATGTGGACAATACATATTATTAATGGCCTAAAAACCATGCAGTAGTATTAGACTTTGTTTGACATGGGAAGACTGGGGAGTTAATCTTAGCCCTCATCTCAGCAGTATTCAGGGTAGCTGCAAGTACAGTATGTAACCCTATCTGGCCTCTGTGTGCTGCAGCTGCGGTGAAGGCCTGTGCCTTGCGACTAGCCTGCGACTCTCCCTGGGAGCTTAAGGAGACACTGTGCAGCTCACTGAGGCAGGCTGCCGCTGGTCCCTGCCCCCCTGCTGACCTACAGATCCGCTGTGCTGTACTGCACTCTGTCCTGCTGCAGAGACAGAACTACCGTCAGATTGCGCAGGGACATCTGCACTGCTGGTGAGAGCCTCCTGGAACCTGCACCATTGCCACAGTGAAGAAAGTATACTCTGTGTGCTCCTGAATCTTTGATTTCATGGAACAGTGCAGCTTTTCTAAATCTGCCGTCTCTTAACATCTCATATATATCAATGAAGACCTGCATCATGAACAATTTCAGAGCATGTGAAGAGTTTGCAGATACTCTCAAAGAATCAGTAAGCTTAGATTGCTCCTAAGCAAAAGGGTTTATCTATTTTTTTTTTCTTTTTAAAGCTGCAATCTATTTAAACAGACTGAAACATACTGTACCATGTTTGGGAATTTTGGTTTAAATACAATGTCAGTTTAAATTTTAATTATTGCTGCAACACTTTAAAAACTTTTGCACATGATTTTAGTCTTCAAAAAATGGTTTAAATGTTTAAAATAAAGATTAAAGTGATTGTGTTATTAAACACATGAAATGGTGAATACATGTTAAAATATTTTAGATTCTTCATATGATCGAAGCTAAACCTATTATATGAACAAATCCATTCACAACAGTGTTTTCCACAGAAGTGTACCACTGCTAGATTAAAGAAAAGTATTGTTACTCAGAGACTTACTACCCTAACCTTTGTTGTATGTATTCAAATTACATATTACATGGCTAACAAATTTTTCACTCTTCTCTTCTGGTTATACTGTAGGACCCAAGAGGATCTGCTTGCTGTCTTGAATGCTTGGGAAAAGATTGAGAGACTGTGTGAGGACCCAGTCCAAGCCCTGGAGTTCATAGCAGGTAGAAACGTATACCAAAGGCTCAGGAAGCTGAATCTGGTTTGTCAGGTGGACAAATACAGCTTTACAAGGTTATGGTAAATCAGTTATGATTTTTTTTCTTAATAATTGCTGTCAGTTTGGGCAGTGGGTTTTGCAAATGATATCATTATTGTTTGTTGTACTGTGTAGTGTGCTCTCACGAGGCACCAGGTTCTGTAGGGGTTTGGGCATTTACGTGGACAATTATTAATTGTAGCCGTAAATCACAAAATGATTCTTTTAATGGCTTTAGAATCCAACCTTGGTCAGTCACAAAGAGTTACACATACAGATGCAGCCATTCAAAGTGCGCGGCAAAGACACGTATCGGAGTTAATTGGCTACGGCCTCGCACATCGTGACGCGCGATGACGCAAAATACCACGGTACGTGATTTGATTGACCGACAGGGGCACTTGTGGTGCGTTGGTCGGTCGTAGAAAGATTTAAATGTCTTTACTGTGCCCGTTTTAGTATTAAATATTTATATGGAATTTTACCACTGAAGGGAAATCTTAGTAGCTGAGCATAAAAAGAATAGGAGCATACTGTAACGTGTGTGAAGGCCAT